CTGAAGTATAACACTGTACTCGAGGAAGATTACAGGGGAGCACGCGAGTGAACGGAGGTTGCACGAGGGGGCGGACAAAGAATGCGAAAAGACTCGAAAGGTCGCAACTGGAGGTTACGACTGACCGTTACAACATCACGGATGGTAACCGAAGCGGCAATCGAGTCGCTGTGCGACTCGATAAACCGTTCCTGTAACTGTATTCTACAACTGCTTTCTTATCTTCTATATATTGCTGCATGCTTGTTTCTTTAGTCAATCACTTGTTCTCATATACTAGTACAAGGGTTCAACTGCCTCAACTTCCGCTGCACTACTCAAAGTCTCATTTTAAAACTGGGACTTAGTCTCTGAAAAGATCCTAAGGGCTTTTATCAGCCCAACACCTGTCAACTTATATATATATATATTTGTATGTAGAAGTTATAGGCTAGATAGGTGTCTGTTCTTACAAGGTACAACTCCAATCTTGTATCTCCCTTGTTCTCACTTGTTTCTATTCATTCTCGTATTCTAACATAGTATCATAGTAGGTTAGGCCTGCCCACCCGCTTCCGCCCCTAGCCGGCCGCCGGCCCCTCGCGCACCTCGCCGGCCCCTAGCGTACCCGCCGGCCCTTCACGCACCTCGCCGTCCCCTAGTGTGCCCGCCGCCCCTTAAGCGCCACGCCGGCCCCTCGCGTACCCCGTCGGCCCCTCGCGTACCCCGCTGGCCCCTAGCGCGCCGTGCCGGCCCCTTAACGCCCAGCCGGCCCCTCGCGCCCCGCCGGCCCTTTGCACCTAGCCGGCCTCTCGCATGCTCGCCAGCCCCTCGTGTACTCACCGGCCCCTCGCATACCTAGCCAGCCCCCCGCGCACCCGCCCGGCCCCTCGCGCGCCTCGCCGGACCTTCGCGCTCGCCAGCCCCTCGCGCGCCCGCCGACTCCTAGCGTACCTCTCCGACCCCTCCCGTGCTCGCCGGCCCTTCGCTCCTTGCCGACCCTTAGCGCCTCACCGGCCCTTCGTGCCCCCCCGGCACTAGCCGCCCCGCCGACTCCTTGAGCCCCCACTGGCCCTCGCGCGCCACCTGGCCCAAGTGCTCTGCGCGACTCGGGCCCTGCGCGCCTCGAGAACTCCTCAGCCTCCCGCCTGAGAGTCCTGCCGAAGAGTCTTGCCGCCACGCCGCTCTGCCGCCGTCCCGTTGAGTACCTGTGCCGCCGTGTCGTCGTGTCCCCGTACCGCTGTGCCGTTGTGACGATGTGCCGCCGTGGACCTGTGCTGCTGAGGTTACACGATGACAAACGCCATACTTCGCCTAGACGCGGAGGGGCACGCGATTGACTTCGCCGCCTGGCTTTTCGATCTTCGTCAGCACTTGACATGTCAGCGCCAGGATGGGCACTCCATGGCTATGCATGTTGATGGCTTTCTTTCCCGCCCCCCCGCGCCTGAGCCCCTCCTAGCTAACCCCACCACTGCTGAGAGTGAGGCATTTTCTGCTGCTACGCTCGCTTGCGCTGTCTGGGATTCTCGCGATCCTGTAGTGCAGCTCGCCATTAGTCATGCGCTTACCCTGTTTGAGCGTTCGCGCTTCACTGCTGTCGCGAACGCCAAGGATTTCCTAGATGCAGTAGTTGCATGCTACTCTACACCTGCCTCCGCCTCCGCTGGTCGCTTGATCCTCCCCATGCTATTCCCCGATCTTTCCGCTTTCCCTATAGTCAATGACGTGGCCACTCACCTCCGTGCACTAGAGAGTAGCTACCACGCTGCTAGCACTGCCGCCCAGCTCACTGCCTTCCCCCCACCATTCTGCGCTACCGTGTTCTTTATTGACATGGGCCTGTCTGACCGCTTAGCCACTACTCGCGACCACTTCCTTAGCCAAGACCCTGGCGACCTCACCCTGACCGCCTTTGTAGCCGCCTTTGTCTGAGATAGAGACTCGCCAGCGCACTATCGCTTAGTCGAGCGGTATTGTGGCAGTCCCTACCTTTTAGGGCTGTGCTCTCTCCCAGTGCACGTACGCTGGCGTTTCCGTCGCGATAACTACGGGTGCACCTGCCACAGAGACAGCAGTTACAGCCTTCCCGCAGCAGCGACAGCGTCGGAGCCGCCGCGGCCGCAAGGGAGGGCGTGGTGGTGGCGCTGGTGGTGGTAATGGTGGTGGCGGGGACAGTGGTTTTGACGAGGGGGTTAAGGCTGGTGTCGAAGAGTTGCAGCAGCCGCAGCAGCAGTAGTAGTAGCAGCCGTGTGCCCGCCTCCCGCCGGGGTGGCTAGGAGCCCCTGGAGGTGGTGGCCATGGTGGCGGCCCTCGCAGCTCGGCGTCTACCGGCGACTTCGGTGCTGTGAGCTGCCAGTACCAGCTCCAGACTGGGCCCCCCCGTGGCACTGTGTGCCACCGCCAGCACCGGACCGCCCGCTGTTTCCACCAGACCTCCCTGAGTGGCCCAGTCTGCTGCGCCACGGTGTGCATGTTTTTTACTTAGACATATATCATATATGTTATGCCCAGCATTCTCCGTACGCTGACGCTTCTAGTGTTTCCGAATCTTATTACCTTGTGTTCTCTAGCTTAGGCGTAACACCTATGTGTAATATAGACTTCCCTGCTGCGTCAGGGGTAGGACCGTTTGCATTGTCTAGCCTAGGCTCTACACTCGCCACTCTTTCGTCTACCGCTACTGCTTCGCTGTTCTTTACACTTGACTCCGGTGCGTCTGGCTGCTTCTTCCTCGACCGCGCCACACGCACGCCACTTGCCACACCTTCCGCAGTCGCACTTGCTGATCCCCCTTCTCGTCCTGTCGTTGCTCGCAGCTATACTACCCTTCTCTGTCGAGCGGTTCCCTCGCGTTCCCTTAGAGGCATGCACATCCCTTCATTCTCCAGGAATTTAGTTGGTGTCGACTGTCTTCAGAACCGCGGCGTCACCTCTACGTTCCCTGGTCACGAGCGGTACGCCGTCTGTACCGAGGCCGCCTCTTCAGGTTCCCCCCTTACGACGTTCCCCCGGGGCCGGATGTCTGGCTTGTTTACGCTGGACACTGCTTCCCCCCCGGTTGGGGCGTCCTCCCCGGGCCTTGTGTCCACTCAGGTCGCCGCTGCTTGCTCGTGACGGTCGCTCACTCACCCGTCACTTCTGTGGCACCACCGTCTAGGTCACCCCTGCACTTCCTCGTCTACGTCACATGTCCAAGCACTGTCGCGTCCTAGGTTTTACTGCGTCGCTTCCTGCCCTCCCTCCCTAGCCTGCGTTGCCGTGCACGCCCTGCGTCGAGGGCTGGCTTCGCCGTGCTCCTCACTCCTCCTTGCTTCGCCCTACCACTGCACCCCTATAGACCCTGCACCTGGACGTCCGGGGCCCAGCCCCCGTCCCCGGACCTCTTCGCGAACGCTATTTTCTTGTGCTCGTCGACGACTACGCGCGCTACACCATGGTGTTTCCCCTGGAGCGAAAGACCGACAAGCCTGACGTTCTTATTCCTTGGGTTGTAGCTGCGCCCCTCCACTGCGGTCTCCCTGTGCTGTGTCTCCACTTCGACCGTGGCGGCGAGTTCGCATCTGGTCCTCTTGGATAGTTTTGTCGTGTGGAGGGCATCACCCAGTCGTACACCCTACCGGACTACCCGCAGCAGAATGGGGTTGCTGAGCGACGCATCGGTTTGGTCATGGAGGTGGCTCGTACCTCCATGATTCATGTCGGTGCACCCCATTTTCTGTGGCCGTTCGCTGTTCGCTACGACGCTCACCAGCTTAACTTGTGGCCGCCCTCCCAGCGGCCGCAGGTTTCGTCGACCCTTCTTTGGACCGGGTTACCTGGTAACGCGTCCGCGTTCCACGTCTTGGGCTGCCTTGTTGTGGCCACGGGAAGACACCGACCACAATACTGGTATGCCGCTAAGAGGGTTTTGCGTTATCTAGCCAGTACATGGAGCATGGGCTACTGCTGGGAGGATGCAGGCCAGTGGTCCTTACAAGTCACACAGACGCTTCTTGGGCAGACGACGCTGAGACCCTCAGGTCCTCCTTGGGCTACTGCTTTAGCCTTGGTTCGGGTGCCATCTCGTGGAGGTCCACTCGCTCCTCGTCTGTTGTACAGTCTAGCTGTGAGGCTGAGATCTACGCTGGTGCCGTGGCACCACAGGAGCTCCACTGGCTGACCTTCTTGCTCACCGACTTAGGTGAGTGGCCTAGCTCTGCCTAGTATCTGTACGCTGGCAACAAGGTCATGATCCTCCTGTGTCAGGAGCCTTGACTTGAGGGCAGAGCGAAGCACATCCAGCTGCAGTACTTCCTCCTGCACGAGCTACAGCACCGTCGCGAGGCCCGCGTAGTCCACCTGGCCTCCGGTGCCAAAACAGCTGATGTGTTTACTAAGGCGCTTGCGCCTAAAGATCATTAGCGGCATTGCTTGCAACTTGGTCTAGTTCCTGTAGACTCTCGCTTGCTAGGACCTTGATTGTGTAGTCCTCTATATTGATCCCTTCCAGACTGGCCTTGTGGCTTCACTTCCTGTGGCCGGACTAGTAGTGCCGCCCTGATTTGCTCTTGTCTTGTTTGTACTCTTGCTAACTGGTCTTCGAGCCCCTGCCTCAGAGGTTGGACTAGTAGTGCCACCCTGAGCTGCATGTTTCTTGCTCAGCACTACCCCTTATCTAGCCTAGGAGGTGTGTCAACTTATACATTTACTTGTATGCAGAAGTTATAGGCTAGATAGGTGTGTGTTCGTAGAGAATACAACTCCAACCTTATATCTCCCTTGTTGTCACTTGTTCTAGTTTTTCTCATGTTCTAACAGTGTCATGGCACCGGGATAGCCTTGTCAAACCTCTTCTCTCTCTAGGGAGGGTAGTAGGGAGGCTTTTCCTGGGGAAGGTTGATACATGGAGTCTCTCCTGAGGACATCCCTTCTTGTCCCAGTGGTTAGGACAGGAGACTTTATGACACTTGTATCTTGACAAACCTTGCCAAGAACTCTGGGACAAGGTCAGTTTACGTAGTTTTTAGGCTGCCTTACAATACAGCTGTCTCATTTCACAACAGAGGAACAGACATGATGGGGTACTATGAAACAAGTGGTACAATAACATGACATGACAGTACCCTAAATGTTTCAAGTCGGTACGAGGGCAGTTCACGAATCTCTCCACTTATCTGATACACACAATGCAAACACCCAAGATTGAAAAATGTAGCTCCACCCACAGACAGCTTAACATAAGCTTTCATGAATGTATGCAGCTTCTAGGGACATGAGCTGCCTCCAGTTGAGTTCAATGTGGAACATACGGTAGCCATGTGACTCAATCTTGTGCAGGAATCTTGTGAGACGATCGGCATTCGATCGGTCTAAGTCGTGAATCTCGATTAGTAACTGAAGAGCGAAGAGGAGGGTATAGAGGAGAAGGGGCGGGGGGCTTGGGAGGACGTTAAGCACAAAAGATGGGAGAAAAGCACACAACTGTTCGGGGCGTATACCTACGGAATTGGACCCAAAAAAGTTGGATCCAAGGCGCACGGTACAGTGCGGAGCAAGTTTTGAAAAGAGTTTTCAGTTCGGCAATTCATGCTCGAACCCCTTTTAAGAATACGCCCTAAGACGGAGCGTAGTAAGAGTGCTTGTTTGTGTGTGTGTGTGCGTGCACATGTGTATCTACGTGTGTGTATACGAGTGTGCCTCCCACCAACCCTCGCGGCACCTGTCCAAAGGGCGGCGTGGTGTAGCTGTCAAGGATGGACGGAATGACGTCGTACTCGCAGCTCTCGCAGTCCACCTTAAACACGTCCACAAACGAGTGCCCAAGCACTGTGGTGAGGTCCTACAGGGGAGCAAATGTGGGGGGGACGAGGGGGGTTGGGGGGGGATGGAATGTGGAATGCTCTTTCTGAGCTGTCAAGGATGGACGGAATGACGCCGCGTACTTGCAGCGCTCGCAGTCCACTTTGAACACGCCCATAAAGGAGTGCCCTAGCATGGCTGTCAGGTCCTGGAGGGGAGCAAGTGTGGGGAGGGGGAGGGGGAGGGGGATGGAATGCTCGTTCTGAGTTGTCAAGGATGGACGGAAAAATGTTGTATTGTACTGACAGCACTGGGGAGAGAGGGGAACAATGTGCTCTAATGCACTGTGAGAAGAAAGGGCATGGCTCTCACAGACGAGTGCCCTAGCATGGCTGTCAGGACTCAGGTCCAGGAGTGAAAACAGAGCACGAGTGGGAACCGATAGAGTGCGCTTTTCTGAGACGCCGTAACAAGAGTCACCTTATAACGAGTCACCTTGTAACAAGTCTCCTTGTAACGAGTCACCTTGTAACGAGTCACCTTGTAACGAGTCACCTTGTAACGAGTCACCTTGTAACGAGTCACCTCGTACCGAGTCACCTTGTAACGAGTCGCCTTGTAACGAATCAACTTGCAACGAGTCACCTTGAAGCTGCTGAGAGAGGCCGACTCATTGGAGGAGACAGCGAGACCGATGGGGTGGAACTTGTAGGCCCTCTTGCGCTCCACCTTGGCCTGGTGGTTGAGTGTGTGCATGTGTGTGTGTGAGGGTGTGTGCGCGTGGTGTTCGAACAAAAGAGCCGTTGGGGGCGGGGGAAGCGAAACACAGAAAGGGAACAGGAGAGTTGAGGAGGAGATAGCGAGCGAGGCTGGTGGGTTGGAACTAGAAGGCCCTCTTGCGCTCCACCTTGGCATGGAAAGTGGCTTTTAGGGCGGGTAATAGGGTTGTGTGGGAGGGGGATGACTTTTGAATGCACTAAAAAATGGCCTGGAGAGTGGGTTTGAGGGCGGGTAAGAGGGTTGTGCGGAGGAGAATTGAGGGGGAGTGAGCAACGGGAACTTGTAGGCCCTCTTGCGCTGCACCTTGGCCTGGCCAAATGCGCGTGCGTGGGCGGGTTCCGCCCGCACATGGGAGGGTTGTGCAGGTGCGTTTGTGCAGGTATTGTGCGAATTGTATCATCCCGAAGGAGTAGGAAACGCGCTTTCGCGAGGGCGCGGGGATTGTACCATCTCAACAAAATTCAAAACGCATAGACGCCAGCACTTGTCATTCCCCAGCACAAGGACACCCGTTTCTCATGTGGCGTGAGAGAGTGCTGAAAACACATTTGACGGGTAGTGGGGTGGTGGAGAGATAGTTGGGGAATGAGGGGGTGAGCTGAGGAGGAGACTTGCGGATGCACCTTCTTGTGCGGCGTGAGAGTGTGGTCAAACACATGGATGGGGGGGCTTCTGAGTCAACTCAGAAGAGTACGACATGTTACACACGAGTAGGTGGCATTATGGTGGGGCCAGCGGCAGACGCACATTCTTGTGCGGCTGACGAGGCTGACTGAAGGCGCACCTTCTTGTGCGGCGTGAGAGTGTGGTCGAGCACATGGAGCTTGCAGGGTGCTTTTGAAGAGGCTGAAGACGCACCTTCTTACGTGGAGTTAGAGTGTGGTCGAACACATGGATCCGTGACTTGATGCCTTTTGAGTAGACCCAAAGATCACCTCGGTGTGGGGAGGCCAGGCCTGGGATGCACGCACCTTCTTGCGTGGAGTTAGAGTGTGGTCGAACACATGGATCTGTGACTTGAAGCGGCTGTAGATCTCCTCCTCAAACGAGTCCTTGCCATCTGACCCTATGCTGCACCGTGAAGGAAAGTGGGGGAGGGGGGGGGGCAGGGGGGGAAGGGGTGGACGGCACCGGCGAGAGACGGCAAGTGATTTGAAGCCGCTGTAGATCTCCTCCTCGAATGAGTCCTTTCCATCTGACCCTATGCTGTGCCGTGAAGGAGATTGGGGAGGGGAAGAGGGGTGGGCAGCATGGGGGAGAGAGGGAAACAAAGTGCTCTAATACGTGGTGAGAAGAAAGGGTGAGTTGATTCCAAACTACACATGACGACATCCACCACATTTGGTAAGTCGGTTTCTGAGAATTCTAAAAGAACTAACTGACATACACCACATTTGTATGTAGACAGCCGAGGAGCGGTGAGAGAGGGCTAGAAAACCCCACTTGAGGACTTGTTCGCTCCCATACTCATACGCATCTCCATACCCCCGTGGTAGTAATTTGTGGTTACGTAGGTTAGTTTCAAAAGCATACGTGAGACGTCTCAAAACTATACTCCTACGCATCTCAATACCCCCATCGTAGCAATTTAGTTTTGAGACACATTACTATCCCTTGCTTTGCTCCAACACTCTTTACGCATCTCAATACCTGTAGACAACCGAGGAGGCATTGAGGAGAGAGGGTCGGCATACCCACTTGCCGCCATCCAGCCATGTGCCAAGGCGTTCCTCCATGAGGCACGGGTACGCGGGGGCAAACACCTGCTCTCGTGGGGGGGTGGGTGTGGCGTGTGGCATGCGTGGGAATGGGGTAATGTTTTAGAGCCACCCACTTGCCGCCATCCAGCCACGTGCCAAGGCGTTTCTCCATGAGACACAGGTACGAGGGGGCAAACACCTGTGCTTGGGAGTGTGGGGGTGTGGGGGTGTGGTGCGTGTGGTATGGGAAGGGGGATGGGGCGACCCTTGAGGCATACCCACTTGCCGCCATCCAGCCACGTGCCAAGGCGCTCCTCCACGAGGCATGGGTACGCGGGGCCAAACACCTGCTCGTGGGGGTGAAGCGTGGGTAGCGGGTAGCAAATACATGCTCCAACGGGTGTGGAGGTGGGTACATTTTTTATGTGGCTGAAAATGGTTTGGCCCATTTTTACAACAAGGGTTTGGTGGGAGAAAAAAAAGGGGCTGATCCTTGAGTTGACTCATTGACTGACCCACGTGCGAAGGCGTGCTTCGATGTGCCATGAGACAGGGTAAAACAAAGAGACTGACTAAGCACAGCACAGCACAAAACGCACTGCACCACACCGCACTGCACTGCAGTGCACGTCGAAGACGAACCCCAGAATGGAACACGCATGGATCTTGTACATCCAACCAACCGGCCAAGGCATAGTCACCAAAAGAGACTAACTAGAGCACAGCACCGAACTGCACCGCACTGCACCGCACCCCGCACCTCAAACATGAAGGCCGCGCGGGCCTTGTACGGGCGTCCCTCCGTCATCTTGAACCAGTCGAGGACGAACTTCACCGGGTCCTGCGACCATCGCAGCGCATGTAGAGAGAGAGGGGGGGTAGGGAAACGTGAGATAGTGAATAAGTTTTGAGACATCTCGAGAAGGGCGCCAGTTTTAAGACGCCCCTCCGCCATCTTGAACCAGTCGAGGACGAACTTCACCGGGTCCTGCGATCGGTACGGAGCAAAGGAAGGAACGGATGGAATAGAGCAGAGACTTATGAGTTGGTTGGTGGCTGGCTCCAATGCTGCTGCGGCGCCCCTCCGCCATCTCGAACCAGTCGAGGACGAACTTCACCGGGTCCTGCGATCTACCCGACCAGAGGGAAGGGTAAGGTTGATCGGGGCAAAGGGACGGATGGCATAAAACAGAGGATTATGAAAAGGTGGCTGGCTCCACTGCTGCTGCGGCGCGGCGCCCCTCCGTCATCTTGAACCAATCTAGCACGAACTTCGCCGGGTCCTGCGATCGGTACGGAGCAAAGGAAGGAACGAATGGCATGGACAGAGACTCGTGAGTAGGTGGCTCCACTGCTGCTGCGGCGCGGCGCCCCTCCGCCACCTTGAACCAGTCCAGCACAAACTGCACCGGGACCTGCGACCATCGCAGTGCATGTAGAGGAGAGGGGGGGTGGGTGGGTGGGGGGGGGTGGGTAGAGAAACGAGTGATAGTAATCTAGTTCTCGGACGTCTCAAAACGGGCGCCCCTCCTTCATCTTCAACCAGTCCAGGACGAATTTGACAGGGTCCTGCAAACGACCCAAGCAGAGGGAAGGACAAGGTTGATTGGGGCAAAGGGGCGGATAACATAGAGCACGGACTTATGTATTTGCTTCGCTCCACAGCTGGTGTGGCGCCTTCAAATCGCCTTCCTGAGCCAGTCTAGTACGAATCGAAACGGTTTCTGCTGTTGTAGCAGCAGGAAAGCGAGGAGAAAACGCACGGAATGCAACTTATGATGATGAGCTATTTGAACGCCATGTCAAATTGCGGTTGGGAAACGGCTCTGCTTCTTCTGCGGGGCAGCGGGGCTTAGTACAATAAGTCAAGCACGGATTGAATCGGGTCCTGCAATCTGGACCTCATCCCTCCACCTGCTCACCTGCTCACGTGCTCACCCACTATACCGCACACTCTGGCAGGGACGCACCTTGCCAACTGCGGCGTTTCGTCTGGCGACGTTGGTGCGGTACAGCTGCTCTGACCACTGCAGGAGCTGCCAGGGGAAAGAGAGGGGGGGGAGAGAGAGAGAGGGGTGGAGGGGAGGGGATGGGAGGGGAGGAGAGGGGAGGGGAGGAGAGGGGAGGGGAGGAGAGGGGAGGGGAGGAGAGGGGAGGGGAGGGGAGGGGAGGGGAGGGGAGGGGAGGGGAGGGGAGGGGAGGGAGGGGAGGGGAGGGGAGGGGAGGGGAGGGAGGGGATGGGAGGGGAGGGGAGAGGAGGGGAGGGGAGGGGAGGGGAGGGGAGGGGAGGGGAGGGGATGGGAGGGGAGGGGAGAGGACAAGACAGTCAGGCTGATGATACCGGGAGGAGAGAGAGAGGGAGTGAGGGAGTGTGTGAGATCTAGAGAACGAACGCGAAATGGAGAATGGTAAACGTAAACGGCATAGTCTAGTAGAGCGTTTTTTATCTCGAGCGAATAAAAAGGAGCACGGGAGAGCTGGTTGGGACATGGTGGTGGGAGTGGTGCGCGCGGGGAGTGGTGCGCGTGGGGAGTGGTGCGCGCGGGGAGTGGTGCGCGTGGGGAGTGGTGCGCGTGGGGAGTGGTGCGCGCGAGAGTCGTCGCGCGTGGGCGCGTGGTGCCAGTGAGTGAGAGAGGAGACCAGACCCCGTGCAAGGAAGGAGTCCCAACCCATGCGAGCCCCACCCATGCGATGGTAGTGCGCGGCGCCGACGAGATGCCAAAAAGGGCCTATTTTTTGGTCTTCTTAGAAAAAAGAAACCCCGACGAAAAGCCAATGGAAGCTCTATCGCCATTAGCGCAGTGCCTACTTTGACGCCAACGTAGTACGTTTTTTTAACGCCAACGTACCTCTTTTGACCCCGCGTTTAGCGGCGCGGAAGTCGCGCAAGCCCCTTCCCCCCCTTCTCCCCCTTCCGCTCCTTCCGCAATGACCCCGCCGGACAAAAGCTCCCGGCTGTCTTCCCCCGCCATGATTTGCGGAGAATCCAGCGCGCCGAGCGCCTGCTGGCAGTTGGATGCGGCCGCGCGCTGATCTCCGCCGTCCGACCGCAGGTGGAGGAGGAGGAGCAGCGCGACGCCGCAGAGATTGGCTGCGAGGAGGGCTGAGTGCAGCGACGACGCGGTACGCGCCGCGGACGACGCCGCTGCTGCCGCTCGCATGGCTGCGGTTCAACAACGTAAGGCGAACTGCGAAAGGCGAGCTATGAATGGGGAACTATGAAAGCGGAATTATGAAAGGCGTAAGTTATGAAAGCGGAATTATGAATGGGGAAGTATGAAAGGGGAACGACGAGGGAAAAAAGGAGATGGAAGACTACACCAGAGAAGCAAGCAATGGCTATGAAAGAGACCTAGTGAACCTACTCTTAAGGTCAAATTTCTCCCAGTGGAGCTGCCGGCCGAAGGCCACGTGGTCCAGGGAGAGTGGAACAAGCATTCTGCTCATCAGTACAGTACAGTAGTATGTCCAGGGCAGTGCTGTACTGTACATTGAGTAACGGCGTTCCACGAGAATCCTTTTCCCTGAAACCCTTTGAAACAGACCGCACATTACATAACCGTAGTAAACGACCTTGTAAAGAACTCTCAAGAGGCACGTGGGCGTGGTTCGGATCAGGCCTCTCAATATCCTAGGGGTCACCCTGCAGTTTCCGAGTTTGCCCGGGATCCAAGGGCTCTCGGTTCAAGGGTAAACATCCGGAATGTCAGGTACATTCCAGGTCCTTTTCGCCGAAATTCCGATTTTTAAGTTGTTTTACTCAAAAATCTCCTGACTGATTCCGGGTGTTTCCAAAGAACTCACTGGGCAATCCGGTTTGTGCGAAAATTTATCCTGGCCATCCGACTGGCATAAAAACTACCCGTGCTGGAATTGCGACCCACCCTTCCCCTCCTCCCCCCCCCCCCCAAATCCTTCGCAACCCTGACCAATTTTTCACGCAATCTGAAGGTGCGACCCGTGGAACTTTCACAACTACAGAAGTGCAGTGCTGTCAGACTTATCACAGCCCCTTAATATCACCTTAGCCAGGTTGCGCACTGTCCCTCTAAGCTGTACGCATTTCTGTCGCGATGAAGGAAAGAGTCGAACTTGGTGTGGTCGTGAGGGACAGCAGCAGCAGCAAGCGTGTGTTCTGTATTCTTCTCCATCTTTTCTTCCATCGATGTCCTTCCTGCTTGTACTCGAAGTGCCCACAGGTTCCGCTGATATGTAGAGAGTCCCAAAAAACACTCTGAATTTCGGATTGAAGGTCAAAGTAATCCTGACAAAGAGAGATTTCCCAGGGATTGCTGAATTTTCAGGATCTTTAGTGACACGAATCCTGAGACCGTTGGGTCTTGAAAAACGAAAAATTAGCCCTCCAACTTGTCCAGGCTGGGTAGCCCTAAAAAGTTTGACTGTTTTTGCAGGCAAGAGTTTCGTCAATCTCGGAATAAGCCACTCCTGACAATGACAGGGGGATATTTTTTACTAGGGGTGCGAACATTTACAGGGCGGGTCTATCCCGTACTCGGAAATTGGCCGTGGGATAATTCTGGCTTGCGTGTCCATGGACGGGTATCGATATTCTGAATGCGTCAAAAGCAGGGCTAGGTTAAACTTTCACCCTGTTTTCCTTGACAAAGTAGTGTAATTACCCTGACTTCCAGAGGCCTGATTCGGATATCACGGTGGTGGGGTAAGTGGGGGTGGATGGAACGCATACCAAAGAGGCTGGACGTGTACGTCCTAAGCTTACAGAGAAAAGAGGCCTGGAAATAAAACATGATACTTGACCCCAAAATGAAAAACTATATTCACGTGCTCCTGTTTATTGAATATATATATGATGTTTTCAATATAATGGATTTATTATTGCGTAAATTACAGAAGGGACTGTGTCGGGCCGTACTAGCTCACTCATTTGATGACTGCACTGCACATAAGTTTTGTGGAAACAGACAGGAAGATGTTTTATAATAAAAAGACCAAATAGAATGCGGAACATGTTTGAAATGACCATTCTCTCTTACGTTTCCATAGAAGTGATGCAGAGGAAATATGAGATACCGTACAAGATGGGAAAGTGGCTGAATTTATTCCCCTGACTCACTGGCCTTGCATCGAGGATGAACCTAGCCTCGCAAGGGGAAGCACTGACACGGGCTGGTCTCACCAAGCGCAACAAAATGGTTCCGCCCGCTGGTCCAAAAGGTTTCCCGCCTTCTCGTCAACCATCCAGTTGCGGGGAGAATGGCGGAAAGGGTATTCCCAAGATCTCCCCGTAACACGCCGCGCGCGAGGCTTGAATGGAGCACCTAGAAGAAGTGCCTAGCGCGTTGCGCCCAGCCCCCAGCACAGTGGTACTCCTGCCGTGCTGGGGTTCTGCGGTTCTGCGGTTCTGCGGTGTGTTTCGGTACAGTCGGGTGCAAGTGTGCCCAAACCTCGATGCCCTCGTTCAGCCTATTCAACAAGGGGACACACCAGGGGACTTCGAACCCCAGATTCGAAAATACAAATTCTTGACAGGTGGTGGAGAAATTCTCAGAGCGTTCCCATGCGGTAGACCTCGGTTCGGCTCGTCGGGAGGTCCCAAGGGAAAAAAGGCACTGCTGGGTAACCCAATGCCCTAGGGAACACATTTTGCTGCTGCTGCCGCTGGTGCAGCTGCTTTGAAAAAAGTAAAGTAGATTTCACATTCTGAGCGCCTTGGAATTGTTCTGCCTTATTATGAGCGAGGGCGGACAACGGATGCAGCAGCAACCATGGCTGCGCCTACCACCTTACATACTAATTTCTCAGGCTGCTGATCGTGCTTCCTAGCTCGCGTGTAGCTAGCATATTCGACACCATTTCCTTAGATTCGTCTTCTTTAACGCCTAACGGTGATTTCTCGTACTACCTCGTCCAGTCCTAGGTTCCTCTCTCTCTTCTTTTTTTCCGTCTTATTCGTCGGCTTTTAGTTCTACCGTAACATCCTCCGCCTGCGCTTTTCGATCTGTCCATCTTCCCTCCTCGTCTCTTCATACCGACTTCCCATCCGCGTTTATCCTCCATAAAACTCGCCCAATTCGTCGAACAAGCTAGCTTCGCCATAAGCTCCTAAACCTCCCATCCGTTTGAACGCTTACCCGGCGAGAATCTAGGATACAGCTAACTCGTTTCCTCACTCTCGCGTCTCCTTAGCACGCCACGTGCTTTCCTCTTAGTCACGTGTTTCCCCCGAAGCGAAGTGCGTCTCGTTTCTACGCCACGGTTTCTCCGGTGAACGTGGCGAAAATGGCTCCCAAGCCGGATCAAGTGAGCGCGATAAATGACATCACCAAGAAGCTCTCCGGGACTTCCCTGTCCAAAGACGTTCTAATCAAGACCCTCAAGGTAAGATTCCTGCTTCCGCTTCTCGTTAATTTGCATTTTGCCTTCGTGTCCTGCATTCTTTTGTTGCAGCATGCGGACCCCCTTTGCCTCTTTTGTCCCGATTGTTTCGCTTTTTTTTTTTTTGTTTGGCTTGGCGGTTTAACGTCAATTGGAGGGATGCGAGAATTTAACAGTTTTTTTAGACAATTTCATGGGTAATCTTCTCAGGTTTGTGCTAATGATTTCCTGTCTCAAGCAGCCGTAGCCGCAAACCATTGGTCTGATCGCTAGAGGTCTAATCACTGGTTTACGGGCGTTTTCCGGGTTTCGCGTTAAAGCAATCTGGATGCAAATGTTACTCTTGTGTTAGACAACACCGATAACCAACTAGGGGATCCTAGTTTGCCTGCGTCGTTTTTTGGCCGAGCTGGCCTGCTTTAAAACTTACTCTCGCTAGCTTGATCTGTGATTGGAAAACGAAATGAAATAAAATCATTATTCGCGTGCGGATTGTTAAGTGAACAGCATCGATTGCGGTCGGTCTGGTTGGCCAGTCGCGAGTCAGATAGAAGGTCGTCCAGCACATGCCATCTATAGAACGAGTAGGTTATATCAATTTTCTATCCACGTTTTCAATAATCGCTCCTGGTGCCTATGCAATATGCAACTGTAAGAACCGTTTCTCTCTATTTCCTTCTCCATGCGCCATTAAAAAAACCTTCCCCTCCGCGTCGTCCTCCCCCGTATCTACCCCTTCCCCCCCCCGTGCTTCCCCCCCAGTCCGCTGCGGGCATCCTGGAGCAGCTGCAGCAGTCCGCGCCAGAGCCGACGATGTCGGCGCTGCGCCCGCTGGCGCAGGCATTGCCGGCGGCCAACTTCATGCGCCACCGCGACCGCGACGTGCGCGTGCTGCTGGCGTTCTGCATCAGCGAGGTGCTGCGCGTGTTCGCGCCGGACCCGCCCTACGACGACAGCCCGCTCAAGGTGATTGGGATTGGCTCTGCGATTGGCTGTGCGATTGGCTGTGCGACTGGCTGTGCGATTGGCTTTCTGAACAGTATTGGGTCGAAAGGCGTGGCCCGTGGTAGTAGGGTGTGTGTGCGTGGGGTTGGGTCTGTGCGCATGTTGGGGAAGCCTGGATGGAGGGCGGGGAGAGAAGGGGGGGATTGCCGTCAGCGAGGACGTGCGCGAGTTGCTGGCGTTCTGCATCAGCGACGTGCTGCGCGTCTTCGCGCGGTTCCCGCCCTACAACGACAGCCCGCTCAAGGTGATTGGTCGTTACCGGATCGCTCAATATCGGGAGTGCGTGCGTGCGTGCGATGCGTGACGGTTGGGTGTGTGTGGATGCGGGGCAGTTGGCGTGTGTGGAGGGGGAGAAGAGGAGGGGGAAACGGTAAGGGAGGGAGGGAGGGAGGGAGGTGAGGAGGTGATTGATTACGCAACGCGGTGGCTCATTATTTCTAACCTGACCCTCCGTTCAATTCTCTGTTCAATAACCACTTTGTCCAACGGATCCCCATAAACCCCTGACTATCCCCCCACCCCCCCCCCCACCCCCCCCCCCCCACCTTCGCCTCATGCGTTTTTCTCTGGCTACTCCGCGTACTGCCCCTTGTTCCGCCCTTGCTCCCCCATCCGTTGTCCGTCCCTGATTTCTTTCTTGTCGGCCCTCGCGCTCGTATTTCTCTCTTATTCCTCCCATGCGCATTCTCCTCAGAGCGTGTTTGAGCTGCTAGTGGGCACGACGAGGGCCTGGAGGACACGGGCTCGCCGCTGCACCCTCGGCGGCTTTTGAGCTGACTTGATAGTCGCTCCTTGTTGCTCCCCTGTCTCTCCCTTCTCCGTCCTCTGTGCATTCTCCCCAGAGCGTGTTCGAGCTGCTAGTGGGCACGTACGAGGGCCTGGAGGACACGGCGTCACCGCTGTACCCGCGGCGGGTGGCGATTCTGGAGTCGATGGCACGGGTGAAGACGTGCATCATCATGCTGGACCTCGAGTGCACTGACCTCATCCTGCACATGTTCGAGACCTTCTTCCGCGTCGTGCGGTGCGTGCCTGGGTGTTGTGGTGCGTGCCGGCGTGTGTATGTGCCGTTGCGGTGCGGTGCGTGCCTGTGGGTTGCGGTGCGGTGCGGGCCTGTGTGTTGCGCTGCGTGCCTGCTCGCGCAGATGGCGATGGTAGAGGCGATGGCGTCCGTGATCGATGAGAGCGACACACCATTGTTTGCAGCATGCTCTCACCTCATGCGGCGCCTGAAACCCCCTTCGCTCTTTCCCCACGTCCAAAACCCAAAACCCGTTCACCCCCTCACCCCTTCCCTCCCGCCTCAATCCCCCCCCCGTGTGCAGCCCGGGGCATGTGCTGCACGTGCAGATGGCAGTGGTGGAGGTGGTGGCGTCTGTGATCGACCAGAGCGAGAGAGCGATGCATCTTTGTGGGGTGGAGTGCAACATGCCCTCACCTCTTGGTAGTTCACCTCGTCCTGTGCATCTCCCCCTTGCCTTGCCCCCCCTCCTGTGGTGCAGCCCCGAGCACGCGCTGCACGTGCAGATGGCGATGGTGGAGGTGATGGCGTCTGTGATCGATGAGAGCGAGGACGTCTCCCCGCACCTGCTGGACGCCATCGTATGCAACATGCTCTCACCGGAAAAGGTATGAGCTCCTTTTACTCTTCCTCCCCGCTTCTCCTTCCCTCCCTCCCCCCCCCCCTTTCCTTGCACGTTCACCCTCCTTCGTTTCTCTTCTCTTTCCCTCTTCCCCACACTCCCCTCTCCCCCCCCCCCCCCCCCCCGACCCCCTCTTCCTTCCCCGCTCCCTTCCTGTTCCACCCTTCTCCCCCCTGGAGGACACGCGTTCTCTACTCCTTATCCTCCTGTCTTGCCCTGGTTGCAGCCTGCTCGTCCGCTATTTCTCCCCTCCCCCCTTTCCTTCCCTGAGTGCTTTTTGAGTCGACTCAAAATACCCCTATCCCCCACTCAACCCTCAACCCCCGCTCTTCTACCCCACCTCCCTGCTCCCAACTGCACCCCTCGGCTAACCCAATCCCGCCCACCAGGAGGCCTCCGCTTACGCATACCACTTGGCAGCAGCAGTGGTCAAGCGGTCGGCGGAGCGGCGTGATAGTACTTTCGTTTTTAGATGTCTCAAAACCCCTCGGCAAACCCAATCCCGCCCACCAGGAGGCCTCCCCTTACGCGTACCACTTGGCGGCAGCAGTGGTCAAGCGATCGGCAGAGCGGCTTCAGCCGGTGTTTCAGAGGCACCTGGCCCCTGCTATCCGCACTGTTGCTGCCGCAGCAGGGAAGGACGGGGAGAGCAAGGGCGGCGGGGGCAGCGGCGGCGGTGGTGGTGGTGGCGGTGGTGGTGGTAGTCTAGCGTGCAAGCGCTATCATGATGTGATTCTCGAGGTGTTTCGAGTGGCGCCGAGTGCGCTGGAGATGGCTCTGCCTCAGATACACGAGGAGCTCGTGGTAAGGCAGGCAGGCAGGGGCACGCACACGTGTGGAAAGGCCGGCACATGTGTCTGTGTGTGCGTGCGTGTGAGAAGATTGCCTGCAAGTATGCACGTGCCTCGCGTGTGCGTGCGTGCATGTGTGCGTCTCCTGTTTCCCCTGTGTGTTGAGGCGCATCCACAGGAGCTGGGTGCACTAGAGATAGCTCCGCCTCATGTCCATGAGGGCCTCGCGTGGTAAGGTGTGCATGCAGGCATGCACGCACTTTTCTGGGGGTGCTGGCATGTGTTCCCTGGACCCTTCCCTATCCCCCCACCGTCCCCCAACCGTACTTGCTTCCCACTAAGTCCGTCCGTCTCATTTCCCCTTGAAAGGGCCGTTAAACCCAACTCCATCCCTCCGCTCCCTCTCCACTCCCCCAACCTCTTCCTTCTCCCCCCCTCCTCTCTCCCACCCCCTCCCCTGCACCCCCATGCACTAGCATGAGGATCCCGAGGTGCGGTTGAAAGCGGTGTCGCTGGTGGGGCGGCTGCTGATGGTGGACGCGTCCACGCTGCAGCACCACTACCGGCAGCTTTTTGCAGAGTTTCTGCGCCGCTCCAACGACAAGTCGGTGGACGTACGAGTGAAGCTTGTCAACCTCCTCGAATCCTTCCTCCTCCCGGCTTCTACCTCCGCTGCTGCTGCTGCTGCTTCTGCTGCTGGTGCTGGCGCTGGTGGTGTGGCAGGGGCAGGGGCAGCGGCAGGGGCTGGAGGGAATGCTCTTGTGGCGTTGTATTTCAACAAGGGTCAGGGAGCAGGAGGGGCAGGGGCTGCTGGTGGTGGTTCGGGTGGTGGTGCTGGTGCAGTTGTAGGGAGCAGGGCTGTGGATATGTCAGAAATAAGAAGTGAGTCTGGGAAGGGGATGGGGGAAAGAAGCCCTGGGATGGATGCGGGTTCAGGGTTTTATGGGACAGATGGGGGTTCCGGTTGGAGTGGGAGGGTTGAGGTTTAGGGCTGGATGGGGGGGTTAAGATGGATTGAAAGGGATGGGGGTTCAGGAAGGAATTGAAGCTGTTTATTGGCCTGTTCCCTCCCTTTGTTCAGCTCTTAGATTTGATGCGTCCAGTGTCTGGGTAATCCGCCCTTTCTCACCCCCCCTCCCCGTCTTCCTCCCTCACCGCACCTCTTTTCCCGTATCCCTCCCCTTTCTGAAACCCACCCCACCCACACCTCCTCTCCCCCTCTCTCTCTCCCACTCCTCGTCGTCCCCCGTGCAGACATGCTGCTAGAGCGTCTACTGGACGTGGAGGAGAGGGTGAGGCAGGCGGCAGTTAAAGCCCTCTGCTCTGTCTTCGCCCGCAGCCCAAAGCTGCTGCCAGTGGCGGACCTCCGAGCCGTGGCAGACAGACTAAGGGACAAGAAAGTGCCCGTGAGGCGATTCACCCTGCCAGAAATCGCTAGGGTTTACCGGGAGCACTGCTCGCGATGTGCCGTGCGAGATAGGGAGAGGGAGGAGGCGGAGGCAGGGAAGGGGTTGAAAGAGGATGGGGGAGGAGTGGGAGTGGGAGTGGGAGTGGGGGGAGGGGGAGGGGGAGGAATGGGGAATGGAGTGGAGGGGGATAAGGAGGAGGAGGAGGAGGTGGAGAGGTTTGAGTGGCTGCCTAGTCGGATGATCAAGTGTTGCTATTTCAAGGACTGCAAGGACTTCAAGTGAGTGGAGTGGTTGTAGCAGTAAGGGGGTAGGCCTGCTTGAGCTTGGGGTTTATTAGTCGACTTGAGGACTTCAGAGTCGACTCGACAGTGATGTTGAGTCGGATGATCAAGTGCTGCTATTTCAAAGACTGCAAGGACTTCAAGTGAGTGGAGTGGTAGTATTTGGGTGAGTGGTAACAGCTGTAGGGTGTAGGCCGTTTTATGGTTGTTGTGGGAAAGGGAAGGACTGCGCTGCATGCCTTTTTAGCATCCCTGCTCTGTGCCCCTGCGTGCAAAAAAGCCCAACCTTGTTTCCCAGGCACTCCACTCCACTGCTCTGCCCCTGCCACTAGGATGGCTTGCAGGCCTCAGAGGACCATGGACGTGTCGTTCTTTGACGCCAAGCGCTTCCCCTAGGTGACTTTTGAGTCGACTCAAAAGTCACCCCAGGCACTCCACTCCACTCCTCTTCCACTGCCACCAGGATTTCTTGCAGGCCTCAGACCAGACCATGGACTTGCTCTTTGACGACGAGCTCTTCCCCAAGGCTCATGGACCCCGTGTGCTCTCCCTTCCACTCCATCCCACCCCACTTCATTTCTCCCCCCCCTCGCTCCTCTCCCCCCCCTCCCCCCCCCCGCCCGTCACCTTCAACGCAAGCAGGCTTCAGACAATGGACATGTTCTTTGACGGCGAGCTCTTCCCCAAGGCGCTGCCTGTGGAGCGGGCTCAGTCAGACCAAGGGAAGGCACAGAGGCGCCGCAGAGCGTCCCGTACACCATTTGTGCACCGCGTTCAATGCACTCCACCTGTCTCCACCCCGGACCTCTGCCCTCTTGATTGCAGGCCACAGACCATGGACGTGTTCTTTGACGACGAGCTCTTCCCCAAGGCACTGCCTGTGGAGCGGCGGGCGTTCCACTGGGTGTACCTCTTCCACTCGTTTGACATCAACGACCTCAAGGCCTTCTCACACATCCTGCAGAATAAGCAGATGTGAGTCGCCTCCCCCGGTTCTCCCAGCCTAGGATTCTTTACTCTGTTGTGGATACGGGAGTAAAAGGAGAAAAGGATTCTTTCTCGCTCTTTCACCGCCCCTTTGTTTCCTTCAGTGGTGTTATCTCCTCCTCTCCCCGTCCCCTCTCCTGCCAGCCTTCAAGCCAGTATGACAACCTTCCTCAAAACGCGCCAAGAGCTCAAGGACCCAGACACTCGAGAGCGGAAGAAAGCAGGCGAGGAAGCAGAGAATATTCTTGATGCCCCTCAAATATCGTCTCCCCCTTTCCTTTCCCGGTTCTCTCTCCTGCCAGCCTTCAAGCCAGTATGACAACCTTCCTTAAAACGCGCCAGGAGCTCAAGGACCTAGACGCTCGAGAGCGGAAGAAGGCAGGCGAGGAAGCAGAGAAGAGCAAGGGGAGGAGCAAGGAAAAAGGCGCAGACGCAGAAGGGGAGGGAGACTCTGGGGAAGAGGGAGGCGGCGGAGGAGGAGCAGGAGGAGGAGCGGAGGGGGGTGGTGGGGGGTTGGCTGCGGTTGAAGCTGAGCGGAAGGTGCTGCAGGAGAGGATGGTGGCGAGTGGGAGGCGCATGGCACAGGCAGCGTTCCTGGATGTGGGAAAGGCGGAGGATCATTTCACCAAGCTGGGTGCGCTGAAGGACAACCACGTGTTCCGCCTGCTCTCCTCCCTCATGTCGCCAGCTGAGCCTCTCGCGGCCATACAAGCCATGCGGGTGAGTCTTTTAAGTCCCTACGCTGCCAACTGTGGTTTGAGGAGCATTTCCTTTACCAATCTGGCTGCGCTGAAGGATAGCCACGTGTTCCGCCTGCTCTCCTCGCTCATGTCGCCTGAACCCCTCGCCGCCATACAGTCCAGGGCGAGCTGCTGACGCGCATAGGGGAGCGACCGATCACACCTGTACAAGTTTATGAAGGACCTCTCCTATCAGCTCTCGTTCCACCTGTTGACTTAGGGGCCGACTTAATAGTAATCTTCGGACTCCCCTCCCCTCCCCCTTCCACACCCCCTGCTCCCCAAGACGAGCTGCGAAAGCGCATAGGGGAGCAGTCACACTTATACGAAGGACCTGTCCTACAAGCGCTCGTCCCTGCAGCATTTCTTCAACCCCCCCTCCCTCTTCTCCCTCGCCCCCCCCCCGAACACCCCTCACTTCCAGGACGAGCTGCTGAAGCGCATAGGTGAAAGGTCACACCTATACGACTTTATGAAGGACCTGTCCTACAAGCTCTCGTTCCACCTGTTTGGGCGGCAGCACACGGAGCACGTCCTAGCCATCCTTGGCGCCATTGCAGCCAAGGGGGAAGAGGCGGCAAAGGAGGCGGCCAAGGTTGACCCGGAGAGCGGGGAGGAGGAGGAGAAGGAAGGAGGGGAGAAGGGGAAGAAGAGGGATGGGAAGGGGAAAGTGAAGGAGGAGGGGGAGGAGGGGGGCGGGGACGGTGGAGAGGAGGGAAGGGACAGGGGGGATAAGGGAGGGGAGGTAAGGGGGAAGAGGTTGGGAGTGGCTGGGTTGACGCTGAGGCAGCAGCAGGTGTTGGCTCGGCGGTTCCGGCTGTTTGTGTCTGCTGCTATTCGGCTGCTCGTGGTGGGTGCTGGTGTTGTTGTGTGCCGTGTCTGTGGTACGGGATGCATAACGTTGCCCTCAGCTGCTCACTCTGCAGTTGCTGCTGGCTCACTGCTTTCGGCTGTTTCTCCCCCTCATCTCCACCCCCCCTTCCCCCCCCCTACCCCTTTCCCCTTTCCCCCCCACCCCCCCCCTCCCCCCGTCTCTCTCCCCCCCAATCGGTCCGCACCTCTCCCTCCCCCTCCATGTACCCTGCATGCATCACTGTTCAGGAGGTGGCAGCGCACTTCCCTGCGCTCTTCGAGGGGTGCTTCGCCAGCCTGCTGCCTCTGCTAAGAGCGCACCACCCCGAGCTCAAGGAGGGCGCTGCAAAGCTGCTCTCCAAACTCTCCTTCTCCCCGGACTCCTCCGCCAACGCTGCTGCTCTTGGCAACTCCTCGCCAGACTCCCAGGCTACCAAGTAAGACCGATGGATGGGAGGAGGGGGGGGGGGAAGTGGGGAAGAGCGGTTTATGGGAAGTGCTTGGAGGCGTTTCAAAAGCCCACCTGAACATCTCCCCCTCGCTGCGCTGCTGTTGGCAAGTACCCACCAGACTCGGGGGGAAAATGTGGCTGAAGGGAAGTGCTTGGAGACGTCTCAAATTGCCCCCTGGGTTCTTCCGCCAACGCTGCTGCTCTTGGCAACTATCCGCCAGACTCCCAGGCTACCAAATAATATTGATAGCAGCTCTCTCAGGCTCCCAGGCCACCAAATAGGGTCCCTCTACTGTTCCCCTCTCACGCCATGCCTCTCCTCTCCTCTCTCTCCTGTTCCCCGCTCACGTCACACGCCTTTTCCCTCTTTGCCTCCTGCCTTCCCTCCTGCGTTTCCCTCTCACTCGCCCTCCCCGCGACACCATGGAGTGCCTGAAGCAGCTGGCCAGAGACGGCACGCGGCACCAAGTGAAGAAGTCTTCCTCCCGTCACTCCCCCCTCCTGCCCGTATTCTCATTATCTCTCTCTCTCTCTGCCTCGCTCACCCCCTCCTCCCTTGCCTGCCCCTCCCAGCGACACCATGGAGTGCCTGAAGCAGCTGGCCATAGACGGCACGCGTCACCAGATCAAGGCTGCAGTGGCGGCTCTCTCAGCGTCTATCTACGGCGTTAGGGGGCGGTCCACCCTGTCGTTTATCTACGAGGTGAGAGGATGCGCGCATGTATGGGGCCTGTTTTTGAGTCCCAACTCAAACGGCACCAGATCAATGCTGCTGTGGCAGCGCTTTCTGAGTCTATTGTGGCGTTAGGGGGCGGTCCTCCCTCTCGTTCATCTTCGAGGTCGGAAAATTCATACCTAATGAGCGTCAGGCCAGCACTTGTCTAAAGACGAGGCTAGCAGGAGGCTACTTGCTTGCTCCTGCCGTTAAGTAGGTTAGTTTTGAGGCTACTTGCTGATTTCCATCTCGTGTCTCACTCTCCCATCGGGCCATCCCCACCCACCCAACTCTCCTGTCTCTCCGCCGCTCACAGCACCCTCGTTACTGCTCCTGCCGTTAAGTTGGTTAGTTTTGAGGCTACTTGTTGATTTCCATCTCGCGTCTCACTCTCCCATCGGGCCATCCCCACCCACCCAACTCTCCTGTGTCCCTGCTCACAGCACCCTCGTTACTGCTTCCGCTGTTACGCAGGCTATTTGAGACTTCTCAAAATTTCCGCCTCGTGTCTCACTCTCACTCTCCCATCGGGATTTGGGCCATCCCATCCACCCAACTCTCTTGTTTTCCCTCTCACAGCCCCCCTGTTACTGCTCCCGCCACCCGTTCCTTCGTTTAACCTGAGCCCTGTTTCCTGCCCGCCTTCACCCCGTTTCCCCATCACAAGTCGTCATCATCCCCCCACAAAAGGGCGGTTTCGTTCCTGGAGAGCGCATATGAGCAGCAGCTACAGCGGGGCCTGGATGCCATGGGGGAGATCGCTCGCTTTGCCCCTGACGTGTGGCAGCCGCATGAACTGACCCCCATATGCCCCCTTACATTCCTTCTCTTCCCAACGTCCGCCCTACTGCACATGCTACCAGAAAGCGTTTTCGTCGCTGGAGAGCGCGAACGAGCAGCAGCTGCAGCGGGGCCTGGATGCCATGGGGGAGATTGCCCGCTTCGCCCCTGACGTGTGGCAGCCGCATGAGGACGCGATTATCAAGTTTGTCGTGCGCAAGCTGCTCCGGAGAAGCGTGAGTGGAGTGCTTCCAATCTGACGTCTCACACACGTTGTGACCCGTTTTCTCGTGAGCGTGCACCCCATTTGTGTTCGATAATTCACATGCCTAACACTGCTGTGAGTCGTTGTCAATGTTGCTTGGTGCTCCTTCGCTTTTCAACCATCCCACCTGTCTCAATCTTCAGTGCCCCAGCTCTTTCATAAATTACCCTTCCCCCTCCCCCCCCCCCCCCCCCGCCCCACGTCTCTCGCTCCCATTCTCCCACTCATCCCTTTAGCAGAGTGCGTCTGGCCAGGCGAGTGCAGCAGCAGCGCTTGACACACCCTGCCCTGTGGCAACTCTCAAGGTGCGACAGAAGTTGTAGGAGGAATGGCGAGGGGGGAGGGGGTGTTTCGGGGTGACTTTTGAGTCGACTCTAAAGTCACTCTCTAGGTGCAACAGGGGTTGTAGGAGGAACGGGGAGCGGGGAGGGGGGGTTTCGGCTGTGGGTAAACATGCACGAATGTGTGTGTGCCTGGGAAGCAGGGGGGGAGGGGTTGTGAAGGGGTGGAAATGTGAGTAGTTGGTTTATCAGTCATCAAGCTCGACCCCCGCCCTCCCCCTCCCTTGCCCACGCCCTTTCCCCCTCCGTCCGCCAGTAGCACAGCATCAAGTTGCTCGTGACCCTCCCCCCCCTTCCCCCCCTTCCCCCCCCCCCGCCCCGCTCCCCTCACTTCCCCTTGGTCCCCCGCTTTCGCCAACCCCCCCTGCACGTCCCCTTCTCCTTCATCCCCCAGGCGCGCGGCATCAAGATGCTCGTGAAGACGTTAATCCCCTACCGGACCACACCTGTGAGCCCACTCAACAAACCAATCAGTCACATGCTCCCTTCCCCCCGCCCCCCCCCGTCCCTTCTCCCCCTTCCTCCCCCTGCGCCCCTACTCGCTTCTCCTTCATCCCCCAGGCGCGCGGCATCAAGATGCTCGTGAAGACGTTCCTACTTCCTCCTACAAACCTGCTCTCGTCTCTCCTCCCCCCGCACTTCCCCTTGGTCCCCCGCTTTCGCCAACCCCCCCTGCACGTCCCCTTCTCCGTCACCCACCAGGCGCGCGGCATCAAGATGCTCGTGAAGACGTTTCTCCCCCGCCAGCCCGCACCAGGCGGCAGCAAGAAGCAGTCGGTGGGGCTGCAGGCCGTGCTGGGCAAGCTGCTGCCGAGAGGAGAGGTGTACGACGACGTGCAGTCTTCGTAAGTGCCTTCCCCTCCTGCCTCACAACTACATGCGTCCAGTCGAGTTATGAGGCGTCTCGAATCTAGACTTAGAGCTTTTGAGGCGCCTCAGAATGAGGCCCTGGGCGTGTGGGGGGCCTCAAATGTGGACTTGGAGCATTTGAGGGCGCCCTAAGAAGAAGCAGTCGGCGGGGCTGGAGGCTGTGCTGGGCAAGCTGCTAAGAGGAGAGGTTTACTCATAAATGCGCTCCCTAGGTGCACAGCTGGCATCGCTCGCGCTCCCACGCAGCTGCGAGCCTACTCCTTTGCTGGGCAAGCTGCTGCCCGCCCGCGGGGAGAGGCGGAGTACGGCGTGCAGACCTCCCAAGTGTACATTGCCTGTGATAGGACTCTAGTTTGTAGGCGCCTCAAAACTGGACTCCTTGCCTGCGGGGAGAGGTGGAGTACGGCGATGTGCGGTCCTCCGAAGGGTACATTGCCTGTGCATGTTTGCGTCCGTGCAATGCTTGCAATGTACCCATCCTCATTGATCCCTCTCATGGAGGTGGACCGAGCCCTACTGCGGGTGACAGCAGCCAAGTCAGTGGTCAACCTCTCCCCTCAGCTCGATTCCCCAATCACAGCTGACCTCTACCGCCTCAACACACAATTTTCCTGTCTGTGTGCCTCCGTCATTAATCCATGGCTCATCCCTTCCAGGGAGGCGGACCGAGCCCTACTGCGAGTGACAGCAGCCAAGTCAGTGGTCAACCTCTCCACTCAACTCGACTCCCAGATCACAGCTGACCTCTACCGCCTTGCCGTCTTGACCTCCCTAGTAAGTCCGTTTGGCCTTAACGCTGCCTGGGCTGTTGAGTCGAGTCTAAGTATAGATCACGGCTGACTGACCTCTAACGCCTCGCTGTCTTGGCGTCTCTGTTGAGTATGCCTTCTTGCCTTCCCTCAGCCATCTGTCTTGACCTCCATGACCTGGACTGCACCCCCTTTCCCCCCCCCCTCCCCCCCCTCCGTGCCCCTCTTCCTCTTCACTCATACCCCATACCTCTGTACCCCGGGTCTCTTACTGCCCTTTTGTATCACCATCGTGCATCCCCTCCCCGTTTTTCATCCACGCCTAGGACCCTGTGCCTGTGGTGCGGCGGGGCTTTGCCAGCAAGCTGATCGGGGGTCTCAAGGACCGGTCTGTGCCAATGCGCTATGCTGCTGCGCTGCCGCTGCTGGCCGCTGCGGAGGAGACAGACAGTGAGCCGCAAATCGAGGTGAGTAGGGAAGGGGGAGAGAGGGCGGAGGGTGGGAAGGGAGGGTGAAAAAGGGGAGGGGGCGAGGGGCAAGGCAGCAGCCAGGAGATTCGTGAACCTCGTTCCCTCTCACCTATGCGTTTCCCCCATACCCTCCCCATACCCTCTCCGAATGAACTCTGCAATCCGTCTATTTGTGCAGGTCCGGCGGTACCTAGCCGAATATGTGGATGCTACTAGGAGGGCAGCAGCTAGGAGATCCGTGGCGGGTGGGGGAGCAGGGGAAGATGCGAAGGACAAGGAAGGGAAGCAGCAGCAGCAGCAGCAGCGGGTGGGGGCAGGGGAGAAGGATAACAAGGAGGGCCAGGCATGGGAGGTGAAGGGGGGAGGAGGGGAAGGGGGAGGCAAGGATGGCGGTACGGGTGCAGCTGGTGCGGCTGGTGTGGGGGGTGCAGGGTTGTCGACGATTATAGAGCACCCGGAGTATGCATTGGTGTATCTAGCTTATGTGCTGGCGCAGCATCCGCAGTGGCCGAAAGGGGACGCTGCCAGTGCCAAGGCAGAGGATTACGAGCCCGTGCAACGGTAAGGAACAGGAGGGGGTGTGTGCGCTGTGGGGGGTGCAGGGTTGTCGACAATTATAGAGCACCCGGAGTATGCGTTGGTGTATCTAGCGTATGTGCTGGCGCAGCATCCACAGTGGCCGATAGGGGACGCTGCCAGTGCCAAGGGGAGGACTATGAGCCTGTGCAACGGTAAGGAAGGGGGGTGATACAGATGGTGGAGAGTCTCGGTCTGCTGTGAGATCAGATTGGTGCAGTGCGGTGCGGTGGGTTGGGAGGGGGGTTGGGCTGGGTAGGGTGGGGTTGACGTATGGTGGGGCTATGGGCTCCGGGCTTAAGGATTCAGTCGATTCGTTTGACTCCCTATTCGTGCCCTTTGCATTTTGTCTCCCCCCTCCCCCCCTGCAGCCCCATGGTGTATCTCTTGTGCGCATTGCTGCAGGGGGGCATGGAAAGGGGGAGGGGCGCGGATGCAGGTGCAGGGGCATCGCCCAAGGACAGGGGTGGGGGGCAGGAGGAGGTGGATAACCTCGGATCCGTGCTGGCAGTGCTGGCAGTACTGCAGTGTGCGAACAATATCCCTGCCTTTTGTTTGTTCTAGCCTCTCCTCCCGCCTCCCTCTTTATCGCCCTCTTCTCCCCCCCCCTGGTCCTCCACTCGTTCATCCCCCCCCCTGCAGCCCCATGGAGTATCTCTTGCGCGCATTGCTGCAGGGGGGCACGGAGGGGGGGAGGGGCGCGGAGGGGGGCGCAGGGGCATCGCGCAAGGACAGGGGCGGGGGGCAGGAGGAGGTGGATAACCTGGGAGCCGTGCTGGCAGTGCTGCGAACAATCAAGGCGGCCAGTCCAGTCGCTAACAGCGTTGCACAAGAGGTGAGTTAATGTTTGAGGCATCAAAACACGGTTAGGAGGAGGTGGATAACCTGGGAGCCGTGCTGGCAGTGCTGCGAACGATCAAGGCGGCCAGCTCTGTTGCCAACAGCGTTCCGCAAGAGGTGAGATCAGGTTTGAGGCGACTCAAAAGTGGGTTATTCGGCAGCCGTGCCAGCAGCGGTTGTGACATAGCGGAAGCCGATAGCCAAGCCCAATAGCCGAGACTCTTCCACTCTCCCTACTCTCAGCCTGTCCTTATTCCTTCCCTACTTCTTTCCCCCCCTTCCCCTCCCCCCCACAACCCCCACACACCCTACCCCTCCCCATTTTTACCCCCTCGTTTCTCCCCTAACCAGAAGCTAGCAACCGTGTGCGACATAGGCATTGCAATAGCCAAGGCCATCGGCAGGACCCGCCCCTTCACTCTCACCTACTCGCACCTCGTGCCACTCCCCTCCGCGCTCTTCAAAGTCCCCGCCGCCGCAACGCCCCCTGCTTCTGCTGGAGCAATCACACCAGCAGCAGCAGCACCAGCAGCCGCAGCAGCAGGAGGAGGAGGAGCAGCAGCAGCCGCGGCGGGAGGAGCAGGGGGGGCAGGAGAGGCGGAAGGTGGTTCTGTGGAGCCGAGTGGTACGGGGGCGAGTGGGAGTGTAGATGCGAGTGGGTCAATTGTGCCAACTGGGACCCCCGAGCCGACTCCTGCTTCTGAGCTGCCCCTCACTCCACTGGTTTGTGCTTCCTACCTCACTCCACCTCACCCCTCGCCCCTTATCGCTCTCTCTCCCCTTAATCCTTCCACCCTCTCTCCGTCCCTTCCCCTTACTCCTTGTTGTCTCTTGAGACGTCTCAAAACACAACTTCTTACGCACTGTCGCCCCATTCCCTCCCCCCTCCGTATCTGCCTTCTCTTCTGCTCCGTCTCATTCCCCCTGCCCTTGTTGTCTCCCCTCCCTCCAGCCCGACGGCAGCAACCTGCCTGCTTGCCTTGCGGAGCTCGAGACCCAGTTTGTGGTTCAAGTGAAGCCCATTGCGTCGCCTGCTGCAAAGGCGCACCATGTGAGTGGGCTAGCCAAGCCAAGCTAGGTTGGGGAGATGGGGAGATGGAATGGTGTGTGAGTGATTGGTAACCTGCCTGCATGCCTTGCGGAGCTCGAGAACCAGTTCGTGGTGCAAGCAAAGCCCGTAGCGTCGCCTGCTGCAAAGGCACACCATGTGAGTCGTCTGGTCTGGCTGGTCCAACGTTAAAAGTCTCGCTCTGAGACGCCTCAGACAGACCCAGTTCGTGGTTCAGGTGAAGCCCGTAGCGTCGCCTGCTGCCAAGGCACACCATGTGAGTGGGCTGGCCCAGCGACCATAGTGTAGCTCTCTGAGACGTCTCAGAACCCGTTGGTGGTTCAAGTAAAGCCCATAGCGTCGCCTGCTGCCAAGGCACACCATGTGAGTGGCATCGCCTGGCCAAGCCTAGCCTGGTCCGGGGAGATGGGTTTTTGGGAGATAGGTCGAGCTTTTTGTTTTGGCTCCTAAAAGGAAATCCAGCCAATCCTAGCAAGGTTGGGGATATTGGGGTTTGGGCTCTTGATTTTCGTCTTCCTAATTGCTCGTGTGCTGCCTTTCTTCCCTCTAGGCTGTTTTCGGGGGGGGGGCGAAGGGGACGAGACCATCCAGGGCAACGAGGAGGAGGTTAGAAGGGCGAGGAAAAAGGGAAGATTTTGATAAGAATTCTCCAAAACACCTCCTGCTTGCTTCTCAACTTCACCCCCCTGCTTGCTTGTGTGCCCCCTTTTTTTCTCTCTAGGCTGCTCGAGGGGAGGTGGAGGGCAAGAGACCATCCAGAGCGGCGAGGAGAAGATAAGAAGGGCGAGGAGAGGAGGAGGTTGTTTTTTAGAATTGTCCAAACCACCCTGCTTCCCATTTTCACCCCCCTGCTTGCTTGTGTGCCCCTCCTTTTTTTCCCTTTAGGCTGCGCGAGGGGGGGGCGAAGGGGAAGAGACCATCCAGAGTGACGAGGAGAATGCTGGATGGACGAGGAGAGGAGGAGGTTGTTTTATAGAATTGTCCAAACCACCCTGCTTCTCATTTTCATCTCCCTGCCTGCTTGTGTGCCCCCCTTCTCCTGTCTAGGCTGCGCGAGGGGGTGCGAAGGGCAAGAGACCATCCAGAGCAACAAGGAGAAGGCTGGACGGACGAGGAGAGGAGGATGAAGAGGAGGGAGAGGAGGAGGAGGAAGAGGCAGAGGAGGTGGGGGATGATGAAGACGAGGAGGAAGAGGCGGAGGAGGATGATGAAGAGGGGATGCAGGTCGTTTCTGAGGAAGGTGTGACGGCAGCGGTAGGGGGTCGAGGGAGGAAGGGGAGGAAGGAAGCGGGTGCTGCAGAGTCGGGAAGAAAGAAGGCTAAGGTGACTGTTGAAGAGACTACCCCTGGGAGGGGGAGAGCGGCGGAAAGGCGGAAAGGGAGGAAAGGAGGAGGGAAGGAGGAAGCAGAAGAGGAGGAAGAGGAGGAGGCCGAGGGAGAGGAGGAGGAGGAGGAGGCGGGGGAGGGAGAGGAGGAGGAGGTGGAGGAGGAGGAAGAAACAGCTGCGGTTAAGGGAGGTAAAGGGGCAGGTGGAGGGAGGAAGGGTGCCAAGGGTGGCGGTAAAGGGGCTGGAGCGGCAGTTGGTGCAGCTGCTGCCGCTTCTCCTGTCGCTCCAAAGAGCCATAAGAAGGTAGGGGATGAATGCATGCTCTATTTGCCCGTGGGTGTAACTCTCTTGGGTCTGAATCTGCTTTAGAATGGCTAGGGCGCTAGAAGGGCAAACGTTTACCTCCTTGCCTCCTCCCTCCCTCACTGTGGTGTCGCTGACAGAAACCACCAGCATAGCCGACACCAGCAAAGATTGCTCTTTGTAAGGCGTTTGTGGGGCGGCGCATCAAAGTGTGGTCTCCCTTGTTCCCTCTGTCCCTCCGTCCCCCCCTCCCTTCCCTCCCTCACTGTGGTGTCACTGTCAGAAACAACCAGCAGTACCGGCACCAGCACCGGCAGGAGCAGCGGAGATCGCTCTGCGAAAGGCGTATGTGGGGCGGCGCATCAAAGTGTGGTGGCCGCTCGACAAAGCGTAAGTGCGGTGGAAGCCACCGCACACCCACTTTCCCCTCGTTCTCCCTTCTCACCCACTATCACAGTTTCTTTGCATAGACACATTCATTCACACACAGATGCTCATAGGCACACACACAGACATACACTTATGGCCTGTTGCCCCATCCACACAACCCCCCTCCCTCCCCCCCCTTCCCCCATCCCTCGTCCCCTGTCCGTCCCGTCCGTCCCTCCCCAGCTATTACAAGGGCACCATCAAGTCATATCAAGTCAAGACTGAGAAACACACGGTACGATTCTGTCCCTCCACCTATCATCCCTTCCTTTGTTCCTCCTCTCGACTCCACAGGGGCGCGCCCCCTCCTTTACACACCCACCCTTGTCGTCACCGCCCTTCACCTTTGGTTAGACGTCTCTGTCTCTGCCTCTGTCTGAACTCGCCATGCCCCGTAATGCCTCATGCCATTACAACGAGCTCGTTTCTGAATCGGATCCCCCCCCCCTCCCCCTTCCTCCCCCCTTCCTCCCCCCTTCCTCCCCCCTCCTACCCCCACCCCCCGAGTCGAGCACGTGGCTTAGGGTTGCTGGTGGGTCTGGGCTCGCATCTCTGCATCTGGTTTCCTTTTGGGGCCTGCCTTCCCCCGCCTCTCCCCCCTCTCTAATCTCCATCCGTCCGTCCGTCCGTCTGTCTGTCTGTTTGCCCATCAGGTGCGGTACGACGATGGAGACAAGGAGGATCTGCTGCTTCACCGGGAGAAGTTTGAGTTCATTGACGGTCTACCTCCGCCCTCTGCCGCTGCTGCCGAGGTTCGTTGCACTCCTGGGCCAAGGACCCGCTGTCTCCTGCTCTCATTCCCTCGGTCTGCTTTTGAGTTGTCTCAAAAGCAGTCCGCCCACTGCCGCTGCTGCTGAGGTTCGTTGCATTCCTGGGTCAAGGACCCGCTCTCGTTCCCTCCGTCGCTCCTCCTCTGTCGCTGTTCCCCCGTCTAGGTTCTGTTGCATTTTGGGGGCAACGGCCCTGCCTGCCTGCCTGCCTGCCTGGCTGTTCACTGGTGCTGTTTTTCTTGTGGTCTGTGTTATTTTTTTGCCAGTCTGGTGATGTGATGTGATGTGATGTGATATGACTTGGATGGATGTAGGATGGATGGATGGAAGGATGCGCTTTTGTCTATCCTCCTGGTCCACCATCACACCCTTCGTCTGCAAGATGACTGTTGAGTCGACTCAAAAACCATATATGAGAATTCTAAAAAGTCACTCACACTTCATCTGCTAGATGAGTTTTGAGTTTTTGTGACATCACTCAAAAGTCGTCTCGACTACACTACTCTCCCTCTTCTTCGTCTGCGCTTTTTTCGCGTCTCACTAAACATGCCCCTTTGTCGTCCTTGCCTTTTCCGCTGCGTCCCGCACAGACGCCGGCAACTTCTGCTCCTGAGCCGGGTGGCAAGGGGAAGGCTGCATTTGGAAGTGGCTCAAAAGCAGTCACTAATGTGCCCCTTTGTGCTCCTTTTCTTTCCTGCTGCGTCCCTCACAGAAACCGGCTATTTCCAGCTCCTGAGTCCGGCTGCAAGGGGAAAGCTGCATTTGAATCAACTCAAGGCAGTCATTAATTGTGCCCCTTAGTCCTCCTTTCCCTCCCCGCTGCGTCCCTAACAGAAACCGGCTACTTCTGCTCCTGATTCGGGTGGCAAGGGGAAGGCCTCAGGGACACACAAAAAGGGTGCTGCTGAGGCTGCTGCTGATGGCACTGCTGCCACTGTTAGCAAGTAAGATCTGTTTTGGCTTCTTCCTTGTCCTTTTCACAAACTGTGTCACACGCTCACCATTATTTACCAACGTTCGCTTCCCAGCATGCGCTCGCGTGTACACCTGTCGTTCCCTCGGAGTCAAGCTCCGAAGCAAACAAGACTCCAGCAGAGACGTAGGGAAAGCAATGTCATTGGAAGGACATAGAGAAATGAGATGCAAACTTCCCAGTGTGTGTGTATGTACACCTCTGGTTCCCTCTGAGTCAAGCTCCGAAGCAAACAAGACTCCAGCAGAGACGTGGTCCGTGGGGAAAGCAATGCCATGGGAAGGACATAGAGAAATGAGAGGCAGACTTCCCAGTCCCTGCCTTCTCATCCTTCGTCATCCCATCTCCTCTTCCCTCTGTTCGCATCCATTCTCGGCTCCCTCAGATCTCACAAGAAGAAGGTGCCTCCCCCAGTTGCTGCCGCTGACTCTCCTCCTGCCGCCGCCGCTGCTTCTACTGCTGCTGCTGCTTCTGGTAAGGCAGAAGGGGGCAAGGCCAAGGGTGCAAGCACGCCGGCTGCAGATAAGGCGTCTGGGAGAGGGAAGGGGGCAGCTGCTGCTGGTGGTGGTGGTGGTGGGAGAGGAGGGTCGTCAGCAGAAAAGGCAGGGAGAGGGAAGAGGAAGGCAGAGGAGGTGGTGGGAGATGAAGGGGAAGGGGAGGGAGATGAGAGGAGGGAAGAGAAGGAGGATGGAGAGAAGGGTGGGAAGGGTGCTAAGAGGGGGAAAGGGGCGGAGGGAAAGGAAGGAAAAGAAGGAAAGGAGGGTGAGGGCGGGGAGAGGAGTGAGCCGGGGGATGTGGAGATGCTGGATGCTGAGGATAAAGTTGAGGGTGAGGGAGGGGGAGAGAAGGTAGAGGAGGGAGAGAAGGGAGAGAAGGGAGAGAAGGGAGAGGAGAGCAAGAAGGCGGATAGAAAAGGGGAGGAGGCAGGCAAAGGGGGGGAGTCTGACAAGAAATCTGGGGAGGAAGAGAAGGGGGGAGAAAAAGGGGAAGAGAAGGGGAAGGAAGAGGAGGCAGGTCAAAACAAGGGCGAGGAGAAGGAGGAGGAGGGTGGTGAGGAGGGGGAGAAGGCGGGCAAGGGTGTGGGAAAAAAGCCAGTGAAGGCTAGTATTGGTATTGCTGTTGGTGCTCCCGCAGGTGTGTCAAAACCTCCTGATCCTAAGAGTGCAGACGCTAAGGCGGGAGGGATTGAGAGTGAAGGGGAGGATAAGACTGATGCGGGGAGGAAGGGGGAGAAGCGGGGGAAGTCTGAGGGGGAGGAAGAAGGGAAGGGGCGCAACGGGGCTAATAAAAAGCAGAGGGCGACAGGGGATGGGGAGGGGGCAGCAGAGGAGGTGAAGGAGCAGGGTAAGGTGGAAAGTGCAGGAGGGAAGGGAGAAAAGGCAGGGGAAAAGGCAGGAGAAAATGCAGGGGAAAAGGAAGGGGAAAAGGCAGGGGGCAAGCCGAAGGACAGTGCTGTTGCGAACGGAAGCCCAGGAGGAGAGGAGGGTGAGAAGGGGGAGAGGCAAGCGGAGGAGAATGGCAAGGCAGAGGCAGGAGGAACAGGGGCAGCAGCAGGGGCAGGTGCAGGGGCAGGTGCAGGGGGTCGAGGGAGGAAGGTGTCGATTGGCATTGCTGTGGGTGCGCCTGCATCAGCAGCAGGGGGGGCGGCAGATGAAGAGAAGAAGGCTGCAGCGGGGGCAGATGTGGAAGCAGCCGGAGCTGGAGGGTCGGGAGGCGAGTCTGATGGGAAGGACAAGGTGTGGATTCTCCTGCCTGGGCCTCTTCTCCTGTCTTTTCCCCCTCAACTTCTACTCCCCCACTTACTCCTCTCTCCCCCCCCCCCCCCCCGGCCCCACCCCAGACCCCCCCAACGGCACCCATATGTGTGTTTTGGCTATCGTGTTTTCTTAACCTCTACTCTCTTCGCACTCACTTGCGCATCCTCCCTTGTTGCTCTCTTGTCGGTTCGAGTGGCTTCTCCCCTAGATGCACCAAGTATGTCGCAGCATCCCTTGAAGCCTGCTTCTCCCCTGCTCAGCTTTTCATTGCCTTTCTGAATTGCTGGTACCACACGTTTTCCCATGCCGCTGTCCTTTCATCCCGCCATCTTGTCATGCCAAGTCTTTGTTGTGTTGCTCCTTTCTGTGCACTTCGGCCGCCTGCCGTTGGTCGCAGAGACAGCTCCGGGAGCGCCGGAGCCGCGGCAAGTCGTGAAGGATAAAGGCGGAGGAGGTACATTCCAGAATTCCGCATCTTTGTCGGCTTGCTCCTACCGCTGCTGCCGCAGCTCTTGCTGGTGCAACGTCTACCGATGCTTCTGCTCCTGCTGCTCCTACCGCTCCTGCTGTTGCTGCTGTTGGTGTGTCCTGCAGGCGTGGTACCAGTTGCTGGTTACTGACGACACTAGTACTGTTTGTGTGACACTAGGCTTAGCAACAGGAAGAGAAATACCATAACGAACCAGGGTGGATGTGAAACACCACTCAGTGGGCAGTCTGGAGTTGTGACTGATCTTGATGCCAGGATTAGAATTCATGGTAAAGTTTCGGCAGTTGTGCTTGCCTGCAAACGGCGTTGTGCTTCACAATGTTACAACCTTCTGACTTGACTAAATATATTGGTAAACATATTTTCATGATCGAGTGTTAGGGTTTTTAGCGTGTATGGGTTGGATCAGGGAGGGGTGTATGGGTTTATAAGAGGCATCTGCGTTCCTGTTCTGACATCCTCTTCGGCTGTTCAGAGCCTGCATCTGTCGGTGCTCTGTGCTTGTGGCGACGCGTCGCGCTGTAGCTTCGCGCCACCAAAACGAGACCTACCCAAGACGCGTTCCTCCTTGTCTAGTCGACTTTCGGGCAGACTTGCAGTCCCGGCTAATCGTGTTGTGCCCGCAAATCTCTGGGCTACTGACTGATATTACCCTGCCCTTGGGATGGCAGCACAACCCCAAGAACACTCTTGTCCATAGTGAACAAAAAATCTGGTTTTTTTTTTTTCTATGCCCAGCTCTATGGCAGGAGTCGCGTCAGGGGTCAGGACTCAGAAACCCGAACCGACTCCCCCAACCTCACCGAAATCACGGGAAATTTGATAAATCCCCCGATTCACGTAACACCACGCTTCGACCGACAAGTTCCGCTCATCAGCCGTCAGCACGCCCCGCAGTTGTGCGCGTGAAATGATGGCTGCCTGGCTCATCCGAAGCAGGCTTCCCCCCAACCGTGCAAGTGGCTGGATGCGAGCTTCCTCCCTCAGCATTTTCTGCTGAGGGAACCGCCGCAAGCAACCCCCTTCTTCCTCCCCCGAACCGAACCGAAGCCCCCTTTCACCCACCCCCCCAGCCACCATCACCCGCCCGCCGGCCATCCCCCAAACCGACAACACCCATGTTTCTCCGCTCCCTACTGTTTTCCCATTTCTCAAACCCACCCACCCCAAACCAACCCCCCATCTCCCCCCCCCCCCCAACACCAACCCCCCTCTCCCCCTTTTTCCTCCATCACGCGACACGAGTGACTCTCTTCTCTACCCCAGCCAAGCAGATGCAGCCTTTCAGCTGCTTGTACAGTACAGTAGGAGCCTACTCGTTCGTTCCGTTGAATTGAAAGCCGCAGCGCACCGATGTGCGGTTCTTGCATAGGCCATCTACTAGTTCATCGTGCATGGATGGGTCGATGAACATGCCTATTCTCTTCCCGTCCAGTATCGGTAGGTATGCGACTCTGCACGTGCAAATCATACCTCTCCCCGAAATCTCCCTCCGCTCCACCGCGTTCCCTCCTTCGGTTTACAGACACTGACAGATTAGCAGCAGCGCAAGAGTTTTGCAGTAGGCATGCGTCCAACACCAACAGATTAGCGCCTTTGCAGTCAACCTTAGAGAGAACGAGCTGAAACGCCGCGTTTCTCTGCCAAAGGACACGGTGCGTCCAAACCTTGCGCGATTCTAAATCGCGATTTAGCTTCCCTGGTTGCCACGTGCGCGTGGCCGAATTAATTTTGTACCTACACTTTCATCCGCAGTCTTCGGAACGGCCTCTTGAACTAATATTTATTCATTATAGACGGTGCAAAAAGTCATCCAGCTTTTCTGCCCAGAACGGAGTTAGGGTTCGAGCCCACTCGACCACGACAAGTCGGCAAGACCCTTCTGAGCCGACTCGACAAGTCAGCAACGGTCTCTTTCGAGTCGCGTACATTCTTTATTTATTTACCTCCCCACTGAAATTTTGGGCGGCAAGGCCAGCCACACCAGCTGGTGCTAAATACCTACCAGCGCGTCTTGCTGAACTAGCGGATTCCCGAAGCTGGCGGAACGACCAGCCGCCCTCCCTCTGGCGTGAGGAATCCAACATTGAGACACCCCGAAATCCGGAAACCCCGGAAACCCGGACACCAGGACACTCGGAAACTGAGAAACTTAAAAAGCCGTTCTTAGCCGTTCTTAGTCGTTCTTAGCCGTTCTTTGCGAGACCGTCTTGCTGCGGCATCACACGTGCGAAATAGAAGACGCGGGCGAGCTTGGCTCGGGTCCGGCATTACTGCGACGTGATTATGACGCGGTGTTTAAGGACGGCTGGCGGGCGGCGCGCACTACCAGGAGGCGGCAGCGCGCGGGCCCCGCGGAAGAGGTTGCGGACGTCGTTGGCGGTCTCCGCTTGCGCGTGGCTCGTAGTCGGGCTGGTTTCTTCCGCCTTGGCGGCGCAAGTGGCCTCCGCTAAGCCCTTCTCACGTACGTGTGCCCGACGAATCCCCCCCTTCCCCCTCCCCTCCCCCCCGGCTTCCACCACTCTCTTCCCCTCCCCCACCTCCCCCCCCTCCCCCCGCCCCGCCCCGCCCCGCCCGTTTCTTCCGCATACCGCTCTCCCCGCGCGACGCTCCCCACACGGAGTACGCCCTGCGGATGCCGCTGTCTCGCTATTGCGCTATTGCCGCTGCTTCCTTGTCCCTTCGTCCCCCCTTTCGTGCGCCCTTTCTCCCCACTCCCCCCCTCCCCCTGGCTCACTTCCCCGCCCCCGATCCCCCTTCTCCTGCCCGAACGCCGTTCCCCGTTCCCCGTTTCCCGTTCCCCCTTCCGCCTCCCCCCCGTCCGCTCCCCCAGGCTTCCAACTCCGCAATGGCGGGTTCGACAAGCTAGGCTCCGCCTTGGAAGACCTAATTAAGCGGTCCGGGGGGAGATTAGGCCGCGTGATTCGCGGCGTGAAGGAGGTTCCAGGCTGGAAGGCGTCCAAGGGCGGAGTTAATCTCCTGCGCGTGTCGGGAGATGTACAGTGCCAAGCAACCGGGGGAACGGGCGGAGCGGGCGGAGCGGCGGGGGGAGCGGGAGGGTCCGCCAACGGCACGTGCACCCCGAGCGGGGAGAGCGCCCCGCGGTATAGCGTGCAGATCCCCGCCGTTCCCGCGCGGTCGATCTTCCAGATGCTGGACACTGTAGCGGGGTGTGACTACAGCGGGTCGTTCGCGATGCGCGCGCCGACGCTGCGGCTGGGCGACCCGGCGTCCGTGCTGCTGACCGTGGTCGACGCCGCGACTGGCGCTGAGCTGCTGTTCGACGTGTTCACGGAAAAGATGGTGAGATGAGCGAGATGGTGAGGCGAGGGAGGAAAGAGCGAGTGAGTTGTGGCGAGGCGACAGACAAGGGGGGCGCGAGTGAGGCCTGGCGCTGAGCTGCTGCTGTTCGACGTGTTCACGGAAAAGATGGTGATGCGAGGACTATCTTCCCCAACCCTCCCCCCTACCCCACTTTCGGCCCTCTTTCCCCCCCCTCCCCCCTTCCCGCCTTCCCCCTTCCCGCCTCCCCCCGCACCGATCCACCGACCTATCCGTTGCCTAATCCCGTCTTCCCCTCTTCCTCTCGTTCCCTTCCCCCCCCCCGTATCCCTCTCCCCGTCCCTTCCCCCTCCCCGTTCCCCTTCCCCCTCCCCGTTCCCCTTCCCCCCGTTTCCCCCCAGACCACCAACTGGGTGCGCAAGTCGTTCTCGTTCCGCGCTGACTTTGAGTTGCTTCAAAAGTCTCTCCGCCCCCTTCTGTTTCCGCTCCGCCCCCCCCCCTCCCCCTCCTCTCCCCCCAGACCACCAACTGGGTGCGCAAGTCGTTTGCGTTCCGCGCGGCGAGCGCGGGGAGCCTGCTGACGTTCGGCGCGGGCCTGCTGAACGGCACGGCGGATGCGGACGCGGGGAACGGCGTCGCGATCGATGCGGTGAAGGTGGAAGCCGTCGGATGCTCGTCGTCGTCCATCCAGTGAGTGGGAAAGGAAGGAGGAAGAGGGAGGGAAGGGTGGGGGAGAGGAGGGGGGGGGGATCTGGGAGGATCTGGGGGATCTGGGAGGATCTGGGGGATCTGGGAGGATTCGGGGTGATTTGGGGGGATTTTGAGGGGGGGGGGGGGGAAGGGATTAGGGGGGGGGGATTCTGGGGCTATTCAGGGGAATAAACCATGAGCGTTTGCCCTTTCATGCGCCTCCTTTGTCTCTCCTCCCCGTGAGCTCTTTTCTACTTTCTGTATGGTCTCCTGGCATCATGCGCCACCTCTTCTCTGCCACGTCAGCACCTTCCCCTCTCAGTCCTCTTTTCTTCCTTCCTCTGACTTTTCAGGGAGGGCCGGCTGGCTGGCACTGGAAAGAGCCTTTCTTAAGCGTCTCAAAACCATTCTTCTGACTTTTGAGTCGACTCAAAAGGCTTTTCTTAGGCGTCTCTTCTTAGGCGTCTCTAACTCAAAAGGCCTTTCCCGTCTTCCGGTTTTCGCTTTTTCTTCTTTTCAGAGAGGGCCGGCTGGCACTGGAAAGAGCAACGCCAAGGAACAGGAGGTTAGAGGAAGAGGGGGAGGAGGAGGAAGAGGAGGAGGAAGGGGAGGAAGGAGAGATGGAGGAGGGGGGAGAGGCGGGGGAGGAGGAGAAGGAGAAGGAAGAGGGAGAAGGAGGCCAAGAAGGCTCAATGGAGGGAGAGGAATATGACGGGGAGCAGCAGCAGCAGGAGGAGCAGGAGGAGCAAGAGGAGCAGGAAGAGAGTATCATCGAGGGGGGTGCAACGAGTGAGGGGAGTGAGAGGAGAGAGAGAGTGCTGCGGTCGTCCCCTCCCTCCTCCTCCTCTCTCGCCTCTTCTTTCACGAAGCAACTCCAGAAGGGCCTCAGCAACCTCCCTTTCATGAAGCGCAAGAAGAAAGCGCGCTCCCCTCCCCCTCCGCCTCCCACCAGCAGCAGCAGCAGTGGCGGTAGCAGCAGCAGTGACAGCGGCAGCAGTGGGGGGACTGGGGGGACTGGGGGGGCGGGATTGGGGGGGACTCTTGCTACGGCGCCCCCGTCCCCGCCTCCCCCTCCGCCGCCCTCCCCCCCCGCCCCCCCCACGTGGTACGGGATGTTCAGCGCGGGGAAGCCTCTTACCTCCATCCTGATTGACTATAACGCGGATAACGCGGCGGTGTCTGGCAACTCCGTGACCCTCACGCACAAGAGCGACACTGGAGGTGAGAAGAGGGGAGAGTGGTGGTGGTGGGCAATGAGAAGGCGACACGGGAGTGGCGAAACGAAACCATCAATTCATAGCACTCCAGCTAAGCCACTCTGTGAGCAGTTTGTAATAGCTTTTTGAGGCGCCTCAAAAATCCACTCTATGAGCAGTGGGTAATAGCTGGGCAGTGACGACTCTGGAGCCCACTGGAGGTGGGGAGATGTTAGAGCGACACTGGAATGAGCAGAGCAGAGAGTGGTGGTGGGAGGGGGATGGTGGAGCGGCTTAGAGAGGTGTGTTTCTTGTTGACTTGCCAGGAAGCGCACTCGTGTGGGTGAGAGAAGCAGGGTGTTGGTGGTGGGAGGAGTGGTGCGGGCGGGGGGTTATGGGACGTGCTGCCTCGTCTGCGTCTCACTTGTGGCTACCTTCACTCCTCTTTCCTCTCCTCTCCTCCCCCCCCCCCCTCCTCCCCCCCCATGCTTTCCTGCTTCTCCCTGCTCCGCTCTCCTCCCAGGCTCCCGGTGGCAGTCCATGCAGTTCACATCGGGCGTGTTCTGTGCGGCCATGCAGTGCCCCTCCGGTGGCAGTCCATGCAGTTCATATCGGGTGTCTTCCGGACGTCCATGCCTCCCCTCTCATCCTCCCCTCTCATCCTCCCCTCTCATCCTCCCCTCTCATCCTCCCCTCTCATCCTCCCCTTTCTCTCTCCTCTCTGCCGCCCACCCTCCCCCCTCGTCGCTCCTCCCAGGCTCTCGGTGGCAGTCCATGCAGTTCACATCGGGCGTGTTCCGCGCGGCCATGCAGTGCCCCTCGGCTGACACCTCCGGCCTCATGTACTCCTTTTATGTGAGTGCTGCTGCTGCTCTCATTGTCAATGTAAAAACCGCGTGTAATGAGTCTGCTTTTGAGTCGACTCAAAAGCAGACTCATGTGCTCCTTTTATGTGAGTGCTGCTGCTGCTCTCATGCTTCTGATCTACATGAGCCAGGGCCTCTTGCTGAGGGGCCTCTTTCTTGCCTGAGGGGCCTCTTTCTTGCCTGAGGGGCCTCTTTCTTGCCTGTGGGGCCTCTTGCTGGGGGGCCTCTGCGCACCTCAAAACTAGAGTCCGGCCAGCCATGCAGTGCCCCTCGGCTGACACCTCTGGCCTCATGTGCTCCTTTTATGTGAGTGCTGCTGCTGCTGCCACGTGACTACTGCCGCCCGATGACTGCTGCTGCTTCCTTAAGGGTCAGGGTCTCTTTCCCTCTGCTCATCGCTCGATCGTGCCTACGCACGCACCCCCTCCCCCCCCCCACCAACCCCATAGACGCCAACTCCGGGCTGGGGTGTATTTTTTAGGCGCCTCAAAAATAGACTCCCAACCCCGCAGACGCCAACTCCGGGCTGGGGTGGGTTGAGCTGTGGGGTGGGCTTTGACTCATTCCATGCGCTTGCACCCATGTGCACGTACCCATGTGCATGCACCCATGTGCATGCACCCATGTGCATGCACCCATGTGCACGTACCCATGTGCACGTACCCATGTGCATGTACCCATGTGCATGCATGTGCCCCCGTCCGTTCCCCCTCCGTTCCCCAAACCACTACCAGCTGGACTCGAGTGCGCGCATAGGCGCCAACTCGGCGCTGAGGTGGGACTTCGAGTCGTCTCATGTGCCCATGCGATCTTCCCCATCCCCCCTTCCCCATCCCCCCTTCCCCATCCCCTGAACTCTACCAGCTGGACTCGAGTGCACGCATAGGATCCAACTCCGCCCTGGGGTGGGACTTTCATCTCATGTACCCATGTGCCTCATCTTCCCCAATTCCCCCCCGCCCTTTTCCCCCTCAGCTGGACTCGAGTGCGCGCATAGGCGCCAACTCTGGCCTGGGGTGGGACTTTGTGGGCAACAACAAGACGACGGCGCTGGCCACGTACCACGTGAACGGGGTGGTTTACCCCCAGAAAATCAGCCTGGGGTTCCACTGCGCGGAGAGCACTCACACGTTCTCCATCTACTGGGACGCCAACTATGCTGCGTATGTTTGGGGCATGTGGGGCGTGTGGGGCGTGTGGGGCGTGTGGGGCGTGTGCGTGTGGGGCGTGTGGGGCATGTGGTATGCACTCTGCCTGTTGTTCTCTAGCTGACTCAACGAGTGCCCACACATTCTCCGTCTACTGGGACATCAACTATGCCATGCAGGGGTAACCCCAGAAAGTCAGCCTGGGGTTCCACAGCGCGGGGAGCGCGCACACGTTCTTCATCTACCGAGACGCCAACTATGTGTATGGGTGGCTCATGTGGAGGGGTCATATGGGGGGGGCATATGGGGGGGACATACGGGGGGGAGACTTTTGGGGGGACTGTACAGTGGGCGTGTGTGGTAGGGACGTGTGTGTGACTACCAAGTTGACTCAAGGTGCAACCTTACGAGCTCCATGTGGTGGTGTGCCGAAATTTTCTTCTCTCTCTCTCTCTCCCGCTCCCCCCCACCTCGTCCAGGTGGTACGTTGACGGCAAGCTGGCACGCGTGCTGGTGAAGCAGGTGGGGCAGCCGTACCCCTACCGCCCCATGTTCCTCTACGGCACGCTCACCACGGCTGCTGGCACAACCATGGAGCGATACGCGGGGGCTTACACGGCTAGCAGCACGGTGTACACTGCTGCCTGGACTGGTGCGTGGGGTGGGAGGGGCAGGGAGGGGCAGGGAGGGGCAGGGAGGGGCAGGGAGGTTCTTCGAAGGTTGGGGACAGTTGGGGACGGTTGGTTGGTATGGGTGTGTTGGGGCTTTGATTGCAAGACTCCTAGGTCGGCAAAGGGGCAGCCGTACCCGTACCGCCCCACGTTCCTCTATGGCATGCTCACCACCGCTGCCGGCACTACCATGGCAATCGTACCTTTACCCCCTGTGACCATTACTGCCCTCTCTCTGTCTCTGTCTCTGTCTCCGTCTCTGTCCCTTCACTTCCTGTCCTGTTCCGTCTCTGCTGCCCTCTGTCTGCCCCTGTTGACTGCTGGAATTCCCCTCCAAACCCCATCTTTCCCTCCCCATTTACCCCAATCTCCCCCACTTTCCCCCCATATCCCCCAACATCCCCCAATCTCCCCCAATCTCCCCCAATCTCCCCCAATCTCCCCCAATCTCCCCCAATCTCCCCCAATCTCCCCCAATCTCCCCCAATCTCCCCCAATCTCCCCCAATCTCCCCCAATCTCCCCCAATCTCCCCCAATCTCCCCCAATCTCCCCCAATCTCTCCCAATCTCCCCCAATCTCCCCCAATCTCCCCCAATCTCCCCCAATCTCCCCCAATCTCCCCCAATCTCCCCCAATCTCCCCCAATCTCCCCCAATCTCCCCCAATCTCTCCCAATCTCCCCCAATCTCCCCCAATCTCCCCCAATCTCCCCCAATCTCCCCCAATCTCCCCCGCCCTCCAGGCATCACGGTGATCTCCCCTCTGATGGCGGAGGTGGGGCAGCCGTCCAACCCCACCCCCACGCCCCCCGCCACGTACCCTGCGACTATCGCGCCTGTGACGTTCACCCCGCTGGCCGTGGACTACTGCGACGACCACTGCCCCGGGTGCAGTGCCAGCACGGATGGCAGCGCCACAATTAAAATGGACAACAGCTGCGGTGAGTGCATATTTGAGGCGCCTCAATAACAGCTGCGGTGAGTGCATATTTGAGGCGCCTCAATAACAGCTGCGGTGAGTGCATATTTGAGGCGCCTCAATAACAGCTGCGGTGAGTGCATATTTGAGGCGCCTCAATAACAGCTGCGGTGAGTGCATATTTGAGGCGCCTCAATAACAGCTGCGGTGAGTGCATATTTGAGGCGCCTCAATAACAGCTGCGGTGAGTGCATATTTGAGGCGCCTCAATAACAGCTGCGGTGAGTGCATATTTGAGGCGCCTCAATAACAGCTGCGGTGAGTGCATATTTGAGGCGCCTCAATAACAGCTGCGGTGAGTGCATATTTGAGGCGCCTCAATAACAGCTGCGGTGAGTGCATATTTGAGGCGCCTCAATAACAGCTGCGGTGAGTGCTGGATCTGAACCTGAGTCTTCATGGTGGGCTTCTGTGCAGCTGAGCTGTAGTGGAGGGGTTGTGGGGTTGAGTAGTTCTCTCGAGGCGGCTCAACACGACCACTGCCTGGGATGCAGCGCCAGCACGGACGGCTCTGCTTCCATCAAGATGGACAACAGCTGCGGTGAGTTATAGTGGAGGGGTTGTGGGGTTGAGGAGCTCTCTCGAGACGGCTCAACACGACCTCTGCCCGGGATGCAGTGCAGTGCCAGTAGCACGGATGGGAGGGCCACCAGCAAGATGGACAACAGCTGCGGTGAGTTGCGGCAGAGGGGATGGAGTCTTCTGGGCTTCCTAGGGGAGTCTTGTTTGTCTCTCTCGGGTTTTTTCGGGTGCCTTTTGGGCTACTTCTGGGCTTCTATGCTCCCAGGGCCTTGTCCCGCTGGTGATGTTCACTTTATCCTGGCGTTGGTTTTCAGTATGGACGACTCCATCCTCTCACTCTCCTCTCACTCCTTCCCCCCCTTTTGTTCTTCCTCCCTTCCCTCTTGCCCTCCCACCACTCCCCACCGCAGGGTCTCGCTTCCGCTCCTCTCAGCCGTACAGCTTTGGCTTCTTCAGTGTGGACTACCGGTGCCCGCAGGGGAAAGGCAGCGGAATCGTCTCCAGCTTCTATGTGAGTCTGTTGCTTCTTCTGCTGCCCTGTGTTGGGCTCATCTCGTTGTGCTGCCTTGAGCAAGTCCTCTCTGAGTGGGCAAAGCGTGGGCTCTTGCGTCTGTGCCCGTCGTTCCTTCCTCCTACGTGGGTCCGCTGCTGTGTAACCCTACCAGCAGCAACAACTCGCTCCCCCCCCAAATCACGTTCTCCCCTTTCCTTGAGGTGACTTTTGAGTCGACTCACAAGTCACCGCTGCTCTGTAACTCTCCCAGCAGCAAAAACTCGCTTCCCCCCCCCCCATAACGTTCTTCCCTTCCTTTGAGTCGACTCAAAAGCTGTGTCCATCGTCCTTCCCTCCACTCCCCTCCCCTCCCTTTCCCCTCAGGCAGCAGGCAGAAAGGCAAGGCAGGAAGGCACAGGAAGAAGAGTGAAAACCCGTGTCTAACCCCGCCTCCCTGCCTCCCTCCCTATCCCTAAACCCTAAACTCCTTCCCCCAACGACCAACGACCCCAGCTGTCGTCGCAGGAGGGCAGCAAGGTGCAGGACGAGATCGACTTCGAGTGGCTGGGGAAGAACAACTCGGCGGTGCAGACCAACTTCTACGTGCAAGGGGTGGGCGGCCATGAGAAGCTAGTTGCTCTGGGGCACGACTGCTCTGCGGCGTACCATAACTATGCGCTGTACTGGACCAACAAGCAGCTCATGTGAGTAGGTGGGGGGGGGAGGAGGGTGAGGGGGAGTTTGCAGAATGGGTGGGGGGGTATGGACAGGTGGCGTGTATGTGGACTGCTCTGCGGCATACCACAACCACGCGCTGTACTGGACCAACAAGCAGCTCATGTGAGTGCTTACCAGTAGGTGGGGGGTGTCGGGTTTCGGGTTTTGCGTGTATATGGGCTGTTTGGCTTTTTGGCTGTCTGGCAGCATACCATAATAACTACGCGCCGTACTGGACCAACAACCAGCTCATGTGAGTGGAAAGGGAGGGGGGGGAGCTGAGGGGAGATGCTCCATGTTAGGGTAAGGGGCAGGGTTTTTGGTTATGTTGGGGTAAGGGGCAGGGTTTAAAGTTGTGTTGGGGTAAAGGTCAGGGTTTAGGGTTTGGATGAGATGGTCGTCAGCCTGGGGCACGACTGCTCTGCGGCGTACCACAACTATGCGCTGTACTGGACCAACAAGCAGCCCGCATGAGCGGATGGGACGGACGCTCTAGGTATGCCGGAAGGGCAAGGGACAAGGAAGGGAAGGGGAAGGGAAAAGGGAGGGAAGGAAAAGGGAGGAGAAGGGAGGGGAAGGGAGGGGAAGGCGAAGCAAGGGGGGTTTAGCTGGCTGGTACATTCACTTCGTGCCTGATTGTCGTTCTCCTCTCACCACCCCTCCCCCCCTCCCCCCCCATGGCAGCTGGTACATTGACTTCATGCCGGTGCAAGTGCTGCTCAACACAACAGACATAGACAGTTTTTTAGCTCTCCGTACTTGTATGGGCCTGACTGTCGCTCTCCTCTCCTCGCCTCTTTCCCTCACGCTCCTATTGTCCCCTCCCCTCTTCCCCCCATGGCAGCTGGTACATTGACTTTGTGCCGGTGCGGGTGCTGCTAAACACAACAGCCATCGACGGAGCGCCGTACCCCTCCAAGCCGTCCTTCCTCTACGCCAGTGTGTGGGACGCCAGCGGCATCTGCAATGGCTGCTGGGCCGGCAACAGAGACCCTGGCACAGCCACAGACCCCAGCTGGCAGGTGTTTGCAGAGTACCGCAACATGACTGTGCGGTCCCCACTTTGGGGGTAGGGCGGCGTGGCGGAGTATTTATCCTCGTTATAAGGCACCGACCGACCGCCTGGGCTGGTAGGGTATGGATGGACCCCACCTGGCAGGTGTTTGCGCTGCGGAGTATCGCATTGCAACATGCCTTGTTGTGGTTGCCTTGCCATGCGACTGTGGGGGTAGCCTACAGATGTCTCATCCTCACAGTCATGCATCTTTTGGGAATGGGCCTTCTGCTGCTGCTGCTTTTTGCAGCTCGTTATAGGCGCCTTTGAAAAGTCATTCTGCATAGTCTACTGTAGGTGTATCCTACGCGAGTCCTCCAGCCACCAGGGCTGACGCTTAAAGCCCGTGGCTAAAAACACAAAGCTGGGGCTGACTTGAAACTCATATAATTTTCACAGGCAGAAAAAGTTTCCACCTTTTGGCTCTGAACAGAATGTGAGCACACAAAAAAACTGGGGCGACAAGGAATGAGGACAGTCATTGGCGCGCGGCGATGCCACTGTGTCGACGACAACCAAACGTGTCCACACGACAACACCGCCCTCGTCGCTGAGCCTAGCCCAACGACCACGTTGGCGACCAGCCTCCCCCCTGGCATTTTCAAGTGGACCCCCACTCTGCATTTGGTGTGGTGTACGCACTAGGCGTTTTCTAGAACGTAAGCAGTTTAGCAGGTAGAGTAACGCAAAAGTAGCACCAGTCATGCATTCCCTCTGCGATCCCGTTTAGAAATACGGGTTAAACGCGCGGCACAACGTCCTCGTCGAACAAGCTTCCGACACAAGGGCCGCGACGAGCAGTGTACAGCAGAAAAACAGCACAAATGCGCTCAAATCGGTCACGCTGCCCTCCCCATTCCTTCCATCGCGTTACGCCTCCCCCCCCTCCCTCCCGTCGCGTTACGCCTCCCTCCCCTCCCTCCCGTCGCGTTACGCCTCCCTCCCCTCCCTCCCGCCGCGTTACGCCTCCCTCCCCTCCCTCCCGCCGCGTTACGCCTCCCTCCCCTCCCTCCCGCCGCGTTACACCTCCCTCCCCTCCCTCCCGCCGCGTTACGCCTCCCTCCCCTCCCTCCCGCCGCGTTACGCCTCCCTCCCCTCCCTCCCGTCGCGTTACGCCTCCCCCCCTCCCTCCCGTCGCGTTACGCCTCCCTCCCCTCCCTCCCGTCGCGTTACGCCTCCCTCCCCTCCCTCCCGTCGCGTTACGCCTCCCTCCCCTCCCTCCCGCCGCGTTACGCCTTCCTCCCCTCCCTCCCGCCGCGTTACGCCCCCCTCCCCTCTCTCCCGAGCGTAGCGCACCCCGCTACTGTATATCCCATCCTTCCTCTCTTCCCTGCCCCCCTACTTCAAGTACCCTCCTTTCTCCCCTTCCGAGAGATGGCAGAGAGGGGGGAAGGGACGAGGAGAGATATGGCAGAGAGGGGGCAAGGGACGGGGAGAGGTATGGCAGAGAGGGGGGAAGAGACGGGGAGAGGTATGGCAGAGAGGGGGGAAGGGACGGGGAGAGGTATGGCAGAGAGGGGGGAAGGGACGGGGAGAGAGATGGCAGAGGGGGGAAGGGACAGGGAGAGATATGGCAGAGAGGGGGGAAGGGACGGGGAGAGAGATGGCAGAGGGGGGAAGGGACAGGGAGAGATATGGCAGAGAGGGGGGAAGGGACGGGGAGAGGTATGGCAGAGAGGGGGGAAGGGACAGGGAGATATATGGCAGAGAGGGGGGAAGGGACGGGGAGATATATGGCAGAGAGGGGGGAAATGGATGGGCCTGGGGAAGGGGATGGGTAGGGGGGCGCTTTTGCGGCAGGGGAATGGGGATGCAGATGGACGGGGGCATAGGTATGGGGAGGGAGCGGGGAGAGGGGGATATGGGGGGAGGGCTGGGGAGAGTTAAGGTGGAGAGTGAGGTCGGGCTGGGGTAAGTGTTGGGGTGAGAGTTGTTAGGGAGGCCGGGCAGTTCGCCCCTGCCTCCGTTTCTCCATTGCCTCCCTATCTACCCTGCTTTACCATCTCCCCTGCTTCCCCATCTCCCCTGCCTCCCCATCTCCCCTGCCTCCCCATCTCCCCTTCCTCCCCATCTCCCCTTCCTCCCCATCTCCCCTTCCTCCCCATCTCCCCTTCCTCCCCATCTCCCCTGCCTCCCCATCTCCCCTTCCTCCCCATCTCCCCTTCCTCCCCATCTCCCCTTCCTCCCCATCTCCCCTTCCTCCCCATCTCCCCTTCCTCCCCATCTCCCCTGCCTCCCCATCTCCCCTTCCTACCCATCTCCCTTGCCTTCCCATCTCCCCTTCCTCCCCATCTCCCCTTCCTCCCCATCTCCCCTTCCTCCCCATCTACCCTTCCTCCCCATCTACCCTTCCTCCCCATCTACACTTCTGTTGGGCTGAGAAAAAGCCCTTAGGATCTTTTGCAGAGACTAAGTCCCAGCTTGTAGAGACTTGGAGTAGTGCAGCGGAAGTTGAGGCAGTTGAACCCTTGTACTAGTATGTGAGAACAAGTGATTGATTAAAGAAACAAGCATACAGCAATATATAGAAGATAAGAAAGCAGTTGTAGAGTACAGTTACAGGAACGGTTTATCGAGTCGCACAGCGACTCGATTGCCGCTTCGGTTACCATCCGTGATGTTGTAACGGTCAGTCGCAACCTCCAGTTGCGACCTTTCGAGTCTTTTCGCATTCTTTGTCCGCCCCCTCATGTAACCTCCGTTGACTCGCGTGCTCCCTTGTAGTCTTCCTCGAGTGCAGTGTTACACTTTAGAAACGCTCAAGTCCTTTGAGATATTTCCAACACTCCCCTTCGTTTCTGGAGTGTTGACGTGTTCGGGTCCGGTGACGTTTGTTTGCCCGGTCAGGAACATGCAGTAGTCGAATTTTGCTTTCGCCAATTTCTTCGTCAGATAATCTGCGGCCATTTCTGTCGTCGGGCAGTAACTGAGTTGAAGTCTCCCCTTCGCGATTTCATCCTTGACGAAGAAGTACCGCAGGGCGATGTGCTTAGTTCGGTTGGCGAAGCCGTCCTTGTTCGCGATTTTGATCGCAGATTGGTTGTCGCAAAGGAGTGAGAAGGCGGGCAGGGTCGCAATCTTCGCTTCCTCGAGTAACTCCCGTAGGTAGAGTCCTTCCTTGGTCGCAGTACAAAGGGCGATATACTCTGCTTCAGCCGAGGATAGTGCGATTAACTCCTGCTTGCTCGACTGCCAGGAGATAGTTCCGATGGGTTCTAGTCGGTAGATATAGCCCGTCCTAGATCGTCGATTTTCCCTATCTCCCGCGTGGTCGGCGTCGACGTATCCGAGTAGTCGTACGGACGGTGTTGTCGCTTTGCTGTAGGTAAGTCCGATCGTCGGCGTGGAGACGAAGTAGAGTAGTGCCCGGTTGAGCTCCTCGAGATCCTCCTGTTCCGGTTGCTTCAGATGCGTCGCCAGTTGACTTGCACTATAGGACAGGTCGGGTCGGCAGGTTACTGCTGCAAATAGTAGGCAGCCGAGCTTCTGTTGATACTCCTGGATTTGCTTCGCGGGGAGTTTTGCGGAGGCGCTGTTGTTGTTTCCGTAGTGGTAGGGAGTTGAGGCGGTAGCCGGTGTTAGTCCGAATTTCTTCGCGACAGTGCCTGCGTACTTTCCAGCGTGTAGGTAGAACGCCGAGTTGTCTTCGACGATATTTAGTCCCAAGTACTGGGTCACTGAGTCGGACACCGTGAGCGTCAGGTCCCCTTTCAGCTCCCCTTCGAACCGGGTGACGATGTCGGTGGTAGAACCGATGTAGAGCAGGTCGTCGACGTAGACGATGAGCAGAATGTAATCTCTTCCCTTCTGCAGTCGGTACATGCCTTGGTCATGTGGTAACTGTAGGAATCCGATTTTTACGAGCCGGCCGTGAAGGTGCTGCTGCCAGAGCCGTGGGGCTTGCTTGATCCCGTAAAGGGATTTTTCCAGCTGGCATACTTTTGAAGGGTCGTCGATGAATCCGTGGGGTTGTTCGACGAAGATTTCGGCGTCCACAGGTGCGTACAAGAAGGCGTTTGCGACGTCGATTTGCCGTAGTGGTAGTTTCTTCGTGGCCGCGACGGCGAGTAGGATGCGCAGGGAGGTGTGACGGGAGACTGGGGCGAAGGTTTCTGTGTAGTCGGTTCCGTATCGTTGGTCGAAGCCTCGTACGACCCATCGCGCTTTAAAACGTTCGATGGAGCCGTCCGCGGTGGTCTTAATGCGGTACACCCATTTCCCCGAGAGAATGTTCCTCCCGTTGGTGTTGGTTGTCGGTACTAACTTCCATGTATTCCGGTCTTGGAGGGCTTTTAACTCTTTTCCCATTGCTTCCTTCCATTTCGCCTTATGTTCCCCCCCCAGAGCCTGCGACAGGGTCGATGGCTCGCGCGGAGAATGCGGCGGCGGGTGCTGGACGGAGACCCAGAGTCCTAGGATCTGCAGTCCCGTGGCTTTGTGTCGAGGGGAATTTTCATTCCCGGGATAAGCTGCTTCATCACCGTCTTCAGGATCGGGTAAGAAGTTTGGCCCGATGCGTTCGGAAATATTCGAGTCGACGGGGTGTGGTGTAGCGTAGCCTTGGTCAGCGAAGTGGTAAAAGGTGTCGAGGTTGTTGCTATCGAGGGGATTATCTTCATCGAGTGGAACAGGTACGGAGCAGTAGGGGAGTGGTCCGGCAGCCTCCGAGGCTCCAGGGACGTCTTCTTCTGCTGCGTCAGCCTCGGCAGCATGGTCAGCGAAGGAGCGAAGGCCCACGAAGCCGTCGGTGGGGTCGGCTGAGTTGGCAATGTTGTCCAGGTAATGCTGCAGCGTCAGTCGCTCGTAGAAGATAACATCACGTGATGCTACCGTATTTTTGTCTTGTATGTCGAGAATCTTCCACGCGTGAAAATGTTTGGCGATGCCGAGGTGTAGTCCCCACCGAGCTCGTTGAGTGAAGCGTCCTGCTCGAGCTGTGTGGGGTCTGTATTGTACCATGCAGCCGAAAACTCGAAGTAATTTTGTGCTGCCCCTTTTTCCCGTCCACAGCAGGTGCGGTGATGCGTTGTTGGGGAGCGATGACGAGGACAACAGGTTGTGCAGGTGGACTGCATGTGTCATCGCGTCTGGCCACAGTGTGTTGGGCAGTTTCATCCCAGGAGCAGCTTTCGCATCGTCGTCTGCAAGGTCCGGTTCATGCGTTCGGCGACCCCCTGCTGCTGGTGAGCGTATGGTAGGGACACCAGGCGCTTGATTCCTCTTTCCGCCAGATAGGTCCTGAAGCGTTGTGACTGGTATTCCAGGGCACCGTCTGACTGGAAGCTTTTGAGCTTGGTTCCTGATTCCCGCTCGGCGATGGGGAGCCATGTTGTGAAGGCATCGAAGGCTTGATCGCGCGTCTTGAGGTTGTAATGCCAAGTGTATCTTGTTGCTGCATCGACGAAGGTGATGACGTAGTTGAAGTCGGCTTCCGTGTCGTCTCGAGGCATGTTCAAGATGTCGCTGTAGACTTTTTCCATCGTTGCATATGCAGGCGCGCTTGGATTATGATGGGATGGGAAGGGTTGATGAGGAAGATCTGCTTCGGGGCACGTGAAGCATCGTGCTCTTGGTCGGCGAAGTTCTTGGCCGCTCGTCGTTAGAAGGGCGTTACGTTCTAACACCTCTGCTTGGATTGTTTGTAGTATCGTGCTGTTTGCAGGATGTCCGAGACGTTGGTGCCAGATGTCGTCGGGAGCGCGGTGACCGGGCGAGCGGTGGTAGATGTCGGCGTTGGAGAAGAACGCGACGACCGAGGCGGGACTTCGACAGGCTTCTCGTGTGGGGGCATAAGTTGGTCTGCTTCGGTTGGCGGTCTTCGTGTCGTCGGTGGTGGTACTCGGCTGGTCCTGCTGCCGATGCTGCAGGTGATGGTTTGTTGGACGCTTGCTGGTACTTGTCTTCTTGTCTGATAACTGCTAAGGCTCGTGTTCTTTCTGCTGCAGGTATGGTGTTGGAGTGCCAGAAGCCGTCACTGTCGAAGTCGGGATCAAGATCCGGCGGGTGTGTCCAGGCGCCGAATGATACGATACCGTCGCTATCGGCAGTACCGCGGTCGGGGACGAAGTCCAACACGAAGACGCCGGACTTCAGGAGGGCACGACCGATGAAGAGGCCGCCCTTCCCGTGGTAAAGCCGGAACTCGTTGGAGAAGGAGTCGCACTCCAGGTGAATCCCCTTAGCCATTAGTTGGCTTACGCTTAGTAGGTTGTATCCCAATTGTCGACGATGAGGACCTTGTTGAGCTGAAGAATAACGTTTGTCTCCATTGATTGTAACTGAACCACGCCTTGTCTGTTTGTCTTCAGGTTTTCGTTGTTGGCGACGGTGATGACGACGTCGCGGTTGAGCGTCGCTCGTGTTGTACGAAGCGTCCGGAGGAGCACATGTGCTGACCGCAGCAACTGTCCAAGAACCAGGTGTTTCCGCCCGGTGGGTTCGGCGTTGGCGACTGCAGCGTATGTCGGTTGACCTGAAGTCCTTGTGAGCGCGGCGGCGGGAATTCCTCTTCGTCTGGTGCGTAAGTGGGTGGTGAGCCGGGTGCGCAGTTGTCGATGTGTACCATGCATTAATAATATTTGGTGTCTGTTGTGCAGATGTTGAAGAGCGCCTTGGGGGACTTGCTTGGGTTGAGGCGACTTGTGGGTCTGCTGGACGGTAAACGCGAGGGCGGTTGCAGTTGACCTTGGAGTGCCCGGAAGTCTGACAGTTGTGGCAGAACGGCGGCACGAAGGTAGTCCCTCTGTTGTCGTGCTCTTGCTTGCCGCGTCGGTTGTGGTTGTTGTCATTTCTTCGTTGAGTGTAGAAGACTAACTGCTGTGCTTCCTTGGTTGTCTTTCTTCGAACAGATCCATCTCCTGTTGTTCAGCATGGAGCTCGGCGCAGAGGTGCATCTCCGAAATTCTTCCGTGGGCGCGGAGAAGTGATCGTGTGGTTCTCCATTCTGGCCCGAGCCCGGCGAGGACAAGTGTCACGAAGCTTTCTTCAGTGATTGTTCCTCCGCACCGAAGCAGGCGGTCGCGGAGAGTCTGGCAGCGACTCATATATTGCATTGCCTTTTCCCCGGTCTTCATCTGTATTGTTGTCAGTTGTTGCATGAGTCTGCTTTGCGTCACGCTGTCGTTTGCTTGATAAAGGCACTTGAGATGATGCCATGCGAGTTCCGCGGAGTTCCCATAACTCCGATATGTTCTGATGCTCTGCTGTTCTTGTGGTGACAGGTTCCGCAGGAGGACTGTATACGCCAGCAGCGACTGATACGTGAAGATCTCTTGTTCCTTTCCAGTGCCGTTGCTTGGAAATGGCAAGGACCCGTTGAAGTATCCCAGAAGATGCGCGGCCTCCATCAGCAGCTCGAACTCGAAGCTCCAGGTAAAGAAATCGTGTCCGTTGAACGGTGAGGATGTTTGTAACTTAATAACGTGTGAGAATTGAGCCTGAAGACTGAGAATCTCGTTTGGTGTTTGTTGTGATGCAGCTGCTGTTGGTTGGGCGCGGGGCGGCATGAACTCGAACGTCCCCGGTGAAGAATGATACGGCGCAAAGGTAGGCGCTTGGTTGTGTCGCCCGAAGGATGAGTTGTCGAGGCTCATCGGCGCTAATCCCATGTTTCCTCCATTGCTCTGTGTTGAATGCGCAGGTGTCCTTGTCTGCTGCTGCTGGTCGAAGTGCGACATGAAGCTGAAGAACCTTTCCATAAGGTTGGGGTCCACGCTTGAAGAGGGAGATGGAGTAACCATCTCTGGTACTCTTCCCGTTGTTTCTTGAGCAGTCCCGGTCTCTGTCTGCAGTCCTGAGGTGTGCAGACCAGAGTTGCCGTGTTGAGTTTCTTGGCCGCTGGGTGAGCCCGTAGAGACTTTCTTGCCCTTGCTGTCCATGTCTTGCAATCAATGAGGTCGTTGAATTGAGTTGAGTTGCAGGTTGGTGATAGAACGTAGTTGCTGGGAGTTTGGTCTCTGACCAGCTCTCATACCATGTTGGGCTGAGAAAAGCCCTTGGGATCTTTCCAGAGACTAAGTCCCAGCTGTAAAGACTTGAGACTTGGGGTAGTGCAGCGGAAGTTGAGGCAGTTGAACCCTTGTACTAGTATGTGAGAACAAGTGATAATAAAAAGGCAAACATACAGCAATATGTAGAAGATAAGAAACAGTTGTAGAGTACAGTTGCAGTAGCGGTTTGTCGAGTCGTACAGCGACTCGATTGTCGCTTCGGTTACCATCCGTGCTGTTGTAACGGTCAGTCGCAACCTCCAGTTGCGACCCTTTGAGTCCCAAACCCTTCGTGTTCTTTGTCCGCCCCCTCGTGTAACCTCCGTTGACTCGCGTACCCCTTGCAATCTTCCTCGAGTGTAGTGTTACACTTCAGAAACGCTTAAGTCTTTTGATGTACTTTCAACAACCTTGTTGGGAAACACCCCAATTTAACAGACCTTGACTGTTGGCACCTCCAGAAACTAGTCCAGCAGGGGTTCTACCAATGCTGTGTGAGTTTCACGAACAGCGGACTGGCTCTCCCTAGGCTTGCACGTGCACCGACATGTTGAAAGGGGGTTTCCTCCTCTGTTGAAACAGCACAATGACAGGAAGGGTGCCCAAAATATACTTCTGTTCTGACACTGTTATTATTTGATGGAGCATTATGGTAGTGACTAGCCTGAACAACATCCCATGTAATGCGACAATGAAAAGACAATCTAACAACCTGGCCCATAACCAGAACCCAATCTCCCACCATGCAACATACTAACAAGTTATGTAGTAACCAGACAACCAAACAACCTATCCCTACCACCCATACCATGATTTGGTGCTTCTACCATACTCCACTTCACTTCACACTTCTAACCAGTGTTGTAGCAAGAGCAGCAACACAAACAGCACCACCACAGCACCACCAACGGCACCAGCAGCAGAAACACGAGCCGCACAACACACCCCGCCCCAGCCACCTTCCCTCCTCCCTCTCACAGCCCCCTGCTGCCACCACCCCCACCCCCCAGCCCAACAGCCGCAGCAGCAGAAGAAGCCGCAGCAGCAGCGGAAGAAAGCGCATGGCCCGACACAGGTCGCTCCGCCATCTGACTCACCCTCGCACTGCGCTGCACCGCCTGCACTTTCAACGCCGTCGCCCGCTGGAAAAACTGCTCCTTTGCCAGGGTCCTCACGTGCCGTAGATACGCATCGACGGTCAGGATTCGGCGGCGGGAGTTGGCAGAGGAGGGATCGTACTCATCGTGACCCCGCTCCTCTTGGAGAGCGCGGTCTAGGGAGTAGAGAACGTCTTCTATGGCGAGGTCTGCTGCTGTGTGCTTTAGGAGCTGTGCAGAGAGAGCGTCACACGGCTGGAATGCTGAATCGATGTCGGGGAGTGGGGGAGAGGAGGAGGTGGTTGTGCTGCTGCTAATGGTGATGGCGGTTAATCTTGTGGTGGTGGTTGTGGAGGTGGTGGTGGCAGGAGGTGCGGCGTTTTGGGCTAGCCATGACTCGATCACGTCGGCATTGGTTTGCTGGACCTGCACCCGATGGGCAGCATGGATCCAGGCATGCACATGGCCACATAAACACCATGCACCATGCACCATGCACCATGCACCATGCACCATGCACCATGCACCATGCACCATACACCATGCACCATGCACCATACACTATGCACCATGCACCATGCACCATGCCCCATACACCACGCACCATGCCCAATGCACCATGCCCCATGCACCATGCCCCATGCACCACGCCCCATGCACCATGCCCCATGCACCATGCACCAGGCACCAGGCACCAGGCACCAGGCACCACGTGCCACGCGCCACGCGCCACGCGCCACGCGCCATGCCCCATGCCCCATGCCCCATGCCCCATGCCCCATGCCCCATGCCCCATGCCCCATGCACCACGCACCACGCCCCACGCACCGCGCACCATGGCACCATGCACCAGATCCCATCAAAAAGAGCAACAGGTGGTGGCGTGGGGGGGAATGGGAAAAAGCAGACAAAAAGGTGGGGTGAGAGAGTGAGAGAGCATAGACCCCCCCCCCCCCCCCCCCTTCACACCCAGCTGGCTCAACCCCGCCCCATGTATGTTTGCCCATCAATCCCCAGCCTCACCTGGACCTACTCTTCCAGGCCTTGCTTCTCCCCCTCTCTCTCACCTTTCCAGGGCTCCCTCACCACCTCCCAGACAAAAGGACCCCCACACACCACGCCATCCCCTCCTCGCGTCAACATGCACTTCTCACACAAATTTGGGCTCTTTTGAGTCGGCTTAAAAGTCACCTCCTTGCAACGCAACAGCAACCAGTTTTCCCCCCCGGCAAACAACCGCACACACCAGTTCGCACACAACAGACACCAGTTTCCCCCCCGAATCTCTCACCTGCAGCGCCTCTTCCAGCGCCTGTTTTTCCCTTGCGAGCTCCCTGACCACGGCGCTGGCCTGCTCCTTGCGCGCGGCCAGCATCTGCTGCAGCCCCAGCTGCTCCTCCATCACCCGGTTTTGCCGCCTGCCAGCTCTCGCCCACGTCCGCGTTCAGCTGCAGCGACAGCGACGCTATCGCCGCCTTCTTAAACACAACCTTCGCCTCCTCGCCTTGGCCTGCCCGGTCTCCCCTCTCGCTCCTGCTGCCGCTGCCCCTGCTGCTCCTGTTCCCTGGCCGGACGCGCTTCTTCCTGCTACACCTCCCGCGGCCCCTGCGCCCCCTGCTGTCGACGCTCCACCTGCCGCTCCTGCCGCTCCAGCTGCACCCGTGACAGGGCCTGCACCCGGTCGAGGCAAAGCGCCTTTAAAATGCCCGTACTGTTGCTGCTGCTGCCCGTACATAGCCACCTCTCCTGCCACCACTCCCCTCCCCCTCCCCCACCACCACCACTGCCGCTGCTGCTGATTGCTCTCTCTCTGCCCGCCTGATCCTGTCGCCGCAATACGGCCCCTGTCTGAACCCGACGAAGGTGGGCCGTGCATGTGCATGGGGTTTGTGCCCTGGAACGCCGAGGACGGGGATAAGGGCGGGGGTGCAACACCGCCAGAGAATGCCTGCGGAGGAGGCGACATCTGCTGCTGCTGCTGCTGGTGTTGGGGGTGCTGTTGCTGCTGCTGCTGCTGTGCGCGGACTTCCCCGCGCCTCCCCCCCCTGCTCCGCCAGCGCCGCCGGCTCGCGCACCTGGTGGCCGCGCTTGCGCCGCGGCGGCGGATTGCGCGGGCGAGCGGGAGTAGAGCGGCGGTTCTTGCCAAACATAACCGACAGGACCTGTAGCAGATCGACTAAGGTCGAGCGCTGGTACACCCACTCGCGGAGAAACGGCACGTCGACCAGCCCCGAGGCGTTCACGTGCGAGTGATTAGGCCGGATGATCATATCCCGCGTGGGCGTGACATAAACGAGGGGAGCGGCGCGCGGAAACTGCTCTAGCAGCCACATGGTGACGGGGATGTTGTACTTTATCTCCTTGTACCACATGGGTATGGTGCCCTCCAGCTGTAGCAGCTGCACCTGCCGCCCGTCGTTGTGCGTAAACGTGGCGGGACGGACCTGGGGAGGGGGGGAGAGGGGGAGCAGGGGGGGGCGGGGGAGGAGGGGGAGGAGGAGGGAGGGGGAAAGGGTGCAAGAGTTGAAAGCCTCGCCATCGCCGTTTTATCGCCCCGACCAGCGTACTAACGACAGGGCTAGAGCAGATGAACCTTGAAAGGGAAGGTAGCGTCTGCACCATCGGCTGCCGATACGAGTGACGGAGCCACGGCGGATCCGGGATTATGAAAGGTTAACTAAAATAAAACTAAGAGCGATGCCGCGGGCCGGGTCGGACGACGTGAGGATACCAAGGGAAACGAACAGAAACCGCGTCATAAGGAAAAATGCATGATTGACCTTACCGAGTCGACTAAAAACAACGAACCGCAGAACGAACGAAGCTGTTACTAATGTGGATGCACCCACATGCCGCGTGTATAAGAGCTGGCAGGTAAGCAAGACAAACGGACGAAACAAGGACGAAACAAGGACGAAACACGGACGAACCTGCAGGCCCGAGAAGGTCTGAATAGTGAACGCGAGCTGCTCGCGAATGAGCCACTTGTCGCCCTCGTTATAAGGCAAAGCCCGGGACCTCGCTGCTCCAAGATGCCGTTAAGGAACTGCCGCGTGCTGGCCTGAGGTCCACCTGAGGGCTGCTGCGGCTGCTGTTGCTGCTGCTGCTGCTGCTGCTGCTGCTGTGAGTAATAGTGGGAAGGGTTGTACGCAGATCCCATGGCTAGAAGTCTGTCTGGATCTACGGCTGGAATCCACTAGGAACGGCTGAGATCGACTGGGGACGGCTAGGATTGACTAGGACGGCGGAACCGCTAGGGAAGTCTAAGAACGACAGGCTAGGGCCAGTAGAAACACCTAGAATCTCGATCGGCGATAGCATCTAACTGAAGGCGCTGGCGATGGAGAAATTTCTGGTAAGGAAAGAGAGGAGACGGATTGTTTCCAATCGGACGGTGATCGTTAAAGCAGCTAAATCAACAGTGAATCTGAAAAAAGCACATAAGCTTGACGGGGTCGAAGGACAAAGGAATTAGCAGCAGAGACGCGAAAGACTAGACATTAAAAGGATTCGGGCTCTGTAGGAGTAGCACCACGCGGATATCGCCTCAGAACCGGACGAGTACGAGTAGGCTCCATGATAAAATCAAAGGGACGAAATCTACCGCTGCAAGCAGCTAACAAGCAAGATCGAGCCCTATCAGCTGATCACGGAACGCTGGCATGGCTATCGATCTACTAGATGGGACTGGCTGCGCGGTTGAGTGGAGTGGTCGAGGTGGAGGAGAGAGACAGAGCAGCACCAGCAGCAACTCTTCTGCAGAACCCCTAATGTACAGAAATGCATGATAGGTCTAGACTGACTGACTCCAGCACACCGCCCCGAAAATGACCATTGATTCTCCTCCTCCACTTCCGGGCCTGGAGCCACTCACACACGCAACCCTCGCCCACGGGATTATACTATCAACATTCGCTTGTGTCACAGAACAAAGTCCCTTGAAGGTTTTGAACAGCTCGTTATAGGCAATCGTGTGTGTTATAAATTAATCAGAGTAATAACAGGTAGTGTAATAAAAGAGTCGTGATTCAAGAGTTGTCAATACAAATGAGGACCTAGGCATTTATAGGCACAACAGGGCTAGCCGAGAACCTCGCAAACAGGTTAGGGCAATTCGGCTGGCGAAAGCCACGGAGGTGCCGTGCATTAGGTTTGGGTTTACGAAATGGTTCGGGACCGAGGAAAATGGCCGGGCCTGGTCTTCCGAGGGTCGAGGGCGTATGCGCTGTAGTTGAGCCCAGTAAGGAAAAGGAATTTTCCTTACACCACCCCCCCTTCCGGGATGAGACTACCCACATCCGGGACACGTCTTCTGTGTAAATAATCTCTGACAACTTTGTGTTCACCGAGCATAGCTGCGGGGACCCAGAGGTCGTCATCAGTCGTGCGATCGACCCATCGTACAAGGAAATCAACGGCTGCTGTATCGCGAGAACCTCGTACGCGATGAGCGAGAATTTTCTATGGCTCGATCGTCGGTTCAGGTACTGGGTTGACCGTAGGATTGATATGTTGACGGTCGAGATCAGTTGTATTCGGGACGAACGGTCGCAGGAGACTGATGTGGAATGAATCGTGAATGCGCCAGTCGACCGGTAGTTGCAGCTGGGCGGTGACGGGAGTCACCATGCGGATTATGCGGAATGGGCCGCAAAATCTTGGTTGTAGTTTATTTGGGAGGGGCATCCCCAAATTTCGAGTGTCGAGCAGGACCAATTGCCCAGGGGCAAGGTTTAAGTCATGGCATCGTCGGTTAGCTTGCTGCTTAGCCCATTGGTTGGCTTTGAAAATGGCATCGGCGGCTTTTTGCTGAGACTGTCGGAGGTTTTCGACGAACTGCTGCGATCTGGGTGCCGGATTTTCGATCGGTGGCGATAGAGGGGTTGTCGGGTCTATCCCGTAATTAAGGAAGAACGGGGACTGAGTAGTCGTGGCTGATGGGGCGTTGTTGTACACAAACTCGATCAGTAGAAGAGAATCTTCCCACTGGGCCGGGTCTGTGCACGTTGTACGAATCAACTGCTCCATCGTCTGATTGGTGCGCTCAGTCTGGCCGTCCGATGCAGAGGTGTGCCGTACTGCTGCCAGGCTTTTGTCCAGAAATGGACGTGAACCGAGGGTCGCGATCGCTGATGATTGCCGAAGGGATGCCGTGTAACCGCACGATGTTCGTGAGAAACAGCTTCGCTGTCTGCTCGGCAGTGATTGTCGTCTTGCAGGCGGCGAAGTGTGCCATTTTGGTCAAACGGCCAACGACGACGAGAATCGCGTCATTACCGCTTGGACCAGCTAGCTGGCCAGTGACGAAATCCATCGTCACTTGTTGCCAGGGTCGGCTGGGTGGCTCGAGTGGCTGCAGTAATCCCGCAGATCGAAGTCGTGACGACTTCATGCGTTGACACGTGGCGCAGGAGGTGATGTACTGCTGCATGTCCGTCGGCAAATCGGGCAAGTAATAATTACAGCTCAGTAATTTGGCAGTTTTGTCGATGCCGTAGTGACCTGAGAAATTCGAGTCATGTGCCTCCTGTATCAGTAGCTCGCGTAGGGTACGGTAAGCGGGGACCCAAATCCGATTGGTACCCGGATTTTAGGTAATAAGCCCCCTGCTTGACTGTCAGTTGGGGATGACTGTTAGTCGTGAAGAATGGGTCGGTACTGTATCCGTGGGTAAATAGTCCAGTTAGCAGCGAATTGGTTTGGGTGATTAGGACAGCGGCGGTATGTACTGAAGGGCGGGTCAGTGCGTCGCGATGTTGCTGGCCCTCGTTTGTAGGTGACTCTGTCGTGGAAATTCGACTCGAGATAATCGAGCCAGCGAATCTGTCGGGGGTTGAGTGTCGGTTGGGCGCGGATGAACTGTAGCGATTTGTGGTCTGTTCGGACTGTCACATCAGCGCCCGTCAGGTAGCAGCGCCAAACCTTGAACGCGTGAACGATGGCGAGTAACTCCTTGTCGTGGACGGGATAATTTCGCTCGGCCGGATTCAGCTTTCGTGACTCGTAGGCGATGGGTTGAAGGCCTTCGCCGAACACCTGTAACAGTACTGGCGCCAACAGCCAGGTCGCTAGCCGTCGGTGATGAGTTCGAACGGACGGTGAGGATCTGCAATGCGAAGAACCGGAGGTGTTGTCAGGAAAAGTTTGAGTTGGTCGAACGCAGCCTGCTGCTCTCCCCCCCACTCATAAAACGTGCCTTTCTTCAGAAGATCCGTGAGAGGGGAAGTTACCCCCGCCATGTTCGGGATGAATCGGCGAACGTAATTCACAAACCCTAGGAAACTTTGAAGTTCGCGAAGATTAGCCGGCGGCTTCCAGTCTTGTATGGTCGCGATTTTTTTCGGGTCGATTTTAACACCGTCGATGGAAATAACGTGTCCCAAAAACTCCAGTTCTTGTTTCATAAACTCGCACTTAGAACCCTTGGTGATGAGTCGATGCTGCTGCAGGAGAGCGAAGACTGCTTCCAAATCCCTTAAATGTGCTTCCCGGATAGTGTTGTATATCAGGATGTCGTCGAGGTACACAATGACGCATTTATCCAGCAGCGGCCGAAAAACTTCGTTCATGGTTAACTGGAATGTTGAAGGCGCGTTGGTTAAGCCAAAAGGCATGACCGTGTACTCGTAACTCCCGTATCGGGTTCGGAACGCCGTTCTTGTAGCAGTCAGCGTCGTTGACACGGATCTGGTGGTAACCGCCTCGCAGGTCAATTTTCGAAAAGAACTTTGCCCCACGAAGTTGGTCGATGAGTTCGTCGGCACGCGGAATAGGATAGCGAGACTTGATGGTAACCCGGTTCAAGGCGCGGTAGTCAATGCACATTCGTAGACCGCCATCTTTCTTCGGGGTGAACAGTATCGGAGCTGCGAACGGTGAAGTACTGGGCGGACGAAACCTTTCTCGAGCATGTCATCCAGCTATGGCTGAGTCAGCCTCCACTGTGTCCGAACCGTCGGTTGCGCGCCGGGCTCCAGCTGGATTTATGGTCGTGGTCTCGCTCGGGTGGCAATCCTGGCGGTAGGTCGTCCGGAAAGATGTCGGCATGCTTGCGGATCAATGTCGCCAAGTCGTCGGGGACTGCCGCGCAGAGTTTGTCGATGTCAGCCGGTGCGCTGACAGCCGTGGATGCGATCCATCTGTCGGCGTACAGTTGTGCCCGCGAATCATCGCTCGCTTGATGGTAACCGCGCTGACTGTCGCAGAATCTGGATTGTTCCACTTCGGAAGTCTTCGCCACTCGCCACTCCATTTGATTCGACAGTCACCCGTCCGCCAATCGATGCTCGGGTTGTACTCGCGCAGCCAATCGCGTCCCAGCAGCATGTCGCAGCCGTCCAACGTTGTCGCCAGCATCTTCGTCGTAAAGCTGAATTTTCGCCGCATGTAACTCGCACGTGAGGTACTCCCTCCCGAATTGCCAGGGTGTGCCATCGACCAATCGCGCGTCGATTTCGGGCAGACACCGCTCCAGTTGCAGTCGCAATTTTTTCGCTTTCGTCACATCCATTAAACTGTGGCTTGCCCTACCATCAACAAATATTTTTATGCGGGTATCACCAACTCTCCCTTCAACCAGCACAGGGTGGTCAACCGGTTCACCCCCTTATTCAGCCAGGAATGGTCGATAGCCCAAATCGACACTATAACCTGGTGGGGTGGTGGCGTTTGGGCGACGCAGTCAAGTCAGTAGGTGGCCCATCTGCTACTGACGATCTCTATTTCCCGACTGCTTCTTATCGTTAGGTAAGTTCTTCTTCAGCTGCAGGCAGTCCCTCACCATGTGACCGGCTGGTTGCAGTGGAAGCAGGTCCCCGAAAATACTCGGGCTGCAAACACGTCCACGCCGTTGATTGATGTGTGTTGGGGCTGGCCTCGAAAGCGATTTCCCTCCCGGAAACCCGCTCTCGCAAGTCCACGTCGCGCGTCCAGCGCATCCGCCATGCGAACAATCTCGTTGAAGGTCGTCGGGGTCGCAGGACGATTTCTTGTTGAATCTCCGGTTTGAGTCCGCCCACGTAGCGATCGATTTTCTCGTCCTCGCTGATCCCTCCGATTTGGTCGCAGATGGCCAGAAACGACGCCGTGTATTCTTGGACAGGGCCCAACTGTCTCCACATCCGAAGCTTTGTGCGAGCATTTTCGCGCATGGATATGTGCTCGAATCTGCTTTTCAACGCTTCACCCCACGCTTTCCACGTGCGGATCGTGGTCGAGCCAAAGATTGGTTCTGCCGTTGCTGTGGTGAACTCATCTCCCCAGCTGCCGCCCGTTGATTCCCTGCCGGAGCTCCTCCCTCGTCAAGATGCATGCGCCACCAGTCGAGTGCTGGTCCCCTCAGTAGCGACACAGCCAAGTTGACGCGTGAGGCGTTGTCATTAATACTTGCTGCGGTTCACTTGATTTTAATGGCCGCCCGCGGTTCGCTTTGGATTTCTTCAACTGCTTCAGGTGTCGCCGACGCCTTCGCTTCGCTCGCAGCATCCTCGTCTCGGGTAACAGGCCGCTCCTTACGCGTTTCACCCCGCGTTTGGCGAAGTGACGAGTTTTTCGTTGCGCAGCGTCTGAACTTCGCTTCCCAGCGACTCGAATTTATCCGCGAGTTGTTGAAGCTAGGCCTGCAGTGTCGTCACTGTAGCCGCCCTGGCTTGCAGCTCGTCAAACTCCTCCTGAGTCACGTTCCTAACACTACGACGGGCAGAGGTTTCTGGCGTGCTAGTCATGCTGGAAATTTTACCTGATAGATCTGAGGGTGCACACGCTTTTAGTTGGAGGAGCTTTAACGAGCTCGCCTACCAACCGCTGGCCAACCCTCTATTCTGTCGGGTCCTCTCCCGATATAAACGGACTACTCTACGGAAGACTAAGCGGGCAGGAACGGGGCTCTGATACCAGCCGTTATGAATTAATCAGAGTAATAACAGGTAGTGTAATAAAAGAGTCGTGATTCAAGAGTTGTCAATACAAATGAGGACCTAGGCATTTATAGGCACAACAGTGTTAAGATAGGAAACTTGGAAGGAGTAAAGGATAAGGCCGCCATGAATGTGGCGGCGGGGTTTAGCTAGGAGGGTAGGAAAGTGTCGAGAGAAAAGAGTGATTTGAGTAGTAAGAGAGAGCATACAAGGAGGGGTTTGTACCCTCTACAGAAAGGTTCAGTAACAACATTCCAAGCCTATATAAATTATAACTTAGATAATTTTAACACACCCCCTAGGCTTGGTAGTCACAAGCCCACACACACCCACACCCACACACCCTAGCCCAGCACCCCCATTCCCAGCAGCAGGCGCGATGACTCCGGGTGGGGCTTCCGCCCGGGAGATGGCAATGGCTGCAGCGGCGGCAGTGACAAGAGCGGCGACGACGGCGGCGTGCGGTGGCAACAGGCCAGCGGCACAGCGGCGGCGGCGGCTTCAAATCGTCAGGGGCAACTGCAGCGGCCCCCGCCCTCTCGGCGGCATGGCCGATCTCCTGGGCGACGGGACGGCCGCGGGAGGTAACTGTCGGCTGCGAGGAACAGGACACAGGGGACGGGGGGGGGCGGGGGGGGGGGGGGGGGGGGGGCGTGGTCTAGCCTCACGATTGAGGCTGGCGTGCGGGCGGCTGGTGTGGCGACGCCACGAACGTCGCGCGGCCGGCTGCCGCCGAGCGATGCTGCCACTGCAGAACGACGCCGCCACTGCGCGGCGGCGATGCAGTGGCGGACGACGACGCCGCGACCGCAGCACGATGCCGTCGCAGCGGTGTGGCGATGACGCCACGCGTCGGGGCTGCCACGGCAGCTCCATGGCACACCACGAAAGCAGGGAAGGGAGGACATGACCGCCACGGCGGCACGGCGACGGACAGGAAACAAGTACCTGTAATCCCCCGTATAAACACCCGCCGGAATTAAGCTCCCCCGGGTAGCTTGAGCGGGTATGGGTGTTTAATTTTTTCTGGATATACACAACACCTACTCTCGGACGTGAAAACATTTGAACACCCCCCTGCCACTAGAATCTCCATTTCTAGCAGGAAATGCCAGAATTTCGTGTTGCGTCATTCCGCGCTCAATCGCAGAAAAAAAACTGCTCGCACCGAAAATTTACTGTACAGATTCCCGCGTGTCGGAACAATGTCGCCTGAACAAAGGTTTTGAAACAATGCCCATGAATCTCGGCAGGCTTGAACCTGACGTTGCACCTTATGGAACAGCACTAAAATATTTCGCGTCAGAATTCGCGACACTGTAGTTCGCGAGCCTGGGAAGG